TGAGCCGGCACTTGCTTATTAATAATAATAACCAGTTCTTCGTAAAGCGTTTCGTTTTCATTTATGTTAATTAATTACCGATTTCTAGTTTTTCTACACGGTCATTTGCATTTTCTCAACAAGGAAAACAAGATAAACTACGCGTGTTCCCATCCCGAAGAAACGCCTGTTACGGGATTCGTGGACAAATGTCTTTGGCAAAATCATTAGTATCTCTCACTTTCGGTTTTTGTTGGTAGAAACGTTTAATATTTCAACCGTGCATTTCGTGCATTCCTCGTTTCATTTGCCCAACAACCTGAGGAATGTGAAAATTTTTCGTGTGGGTACCTTGAGTACAATGGCATCCTTTGTAATTAATCGTTTCATTACTTGAACAGAAGGACACTATCGTATCTAATCAAAGAATCAAACTTAATTAGCCTTTTTGTGTTTCAAAAGAAAGTTAATTAGCTTTCATGAACGTTTTCTATTGTTTCATTGCCTGAATTGGTTCGGAGTTAATTCCCATTACTATTGAACTTCATGGGGTAGCTCAACTAGCCACCATGCTTGTTTTGTGGAATTAATAACAATCAGTTTGTCATGTATTTGTAGTGTTAACTTAGTTATATTTTGTCTGTCTGGAAAGGTTCAGCAAACACTGCAGTTTTATCGGGATAGTTAGCTGTTCACGATCATCAGAAACAGAACCACAGCTTACTGTGACAGAACTTTGGGTGGACGCAGACAGGCAGACTATTGCATTACCTACTTTTTTTAATGCTTGTTGCAGGCTGTTATAAAATTTGTCACTTTCATGGAAGGGTTATTTATTCTTGAATCGTTTATTTGATGACGCCGGTTTTGGGACTAAAATTTTTAGAACATTTTTGCAAATTTATGTGTAAAAAGGTTGCTTTTAATCTCACTTTGGCCGGCTGGCTGGCTGGCAGCCAATGCGGGCCCGCAGAAGAACGCCTGTAGAAAGACGAGGAGTGTACTTTGTACCTACCGGGGCCGTGTAATTAACAACTTTAGGGAAGGGGCTACATGATGTAGGGTCGTCGACATCTGAGCGCCATCCCCGAGCGTGCTATACTAACGGTATACTAACTAATTGGTGTCGGAAAGATTTTGTAAACGCGCACAACTTCTGCGTGACGGAATTTTGTCTTTTCTCCTAGGGGCGAAACTAACCACTTTTTGCATAGCACGCCTCTTGGAGGGTTAGAAGTTCGAGCTATGAGAAGTGTCCAAAAATTGTGTATCTACTATTTTGTGGAGGGTTAATTTTAGCGAAATCAAATAAAATGGGAATTGCGGGTGAACGAGACGTCGGAAGTGGGTACCGACAAAGTCACCCAAAAATTTTAGTTATTTTGGTGTCAAAAAGACCTTCCTATTGTGGAAAGGAGACGTAGAAAGGCATTCAAATAGACAACGCAATAAAAGCGATCAAAAAACGCCCATTTTTTCAAACTTTTCTAAACAACTGAGTTAACCTTTTTTTAATGCATTGTGGCTCCTAAAGGAACAATAAAATCCACTACCCCCCTCCCTAAAGATTGTAGAACATCAATCAGATAGTTCAAAAAGTAACAACAATTTAAAATTGGACCAATTTTTGAGATTCGTTGCAAAAAATGGGCGTTTTTTGATCGCTTGTAAAAAAATTTTGTTTTACGAACATCCGTTCAAGTTACTAAGGCCAGTTTAAAAAATATAGCTCGAGTTTTCAGGCGTCGCTCTAGATTTGAATTGTATCCCTTTCTGTATAGTCAATCAGTTGTTTTTTTACGTCTTGAAGTCACAAAAACAAGATCTTGGGGGTATGACCGGCAGGATTTTACCATTTTTTGGTCTCAAAGACTGAGAAAAACTTAAATTATGTCGAGTAGTGTTGATAATGATCGATTGCCGATTGTTTAAACTTTTAAATCGCCTACCCTTAGTACGTGGAAGTAGATTTACCTTTCTTTTAAAATGAACATTTTCCGAAATTCCAAACGATAACCACTTTCAACGATCGTAATCGGCGAGTTCTTCTGTAAGTAGAAAATATCGACAATAATTTTTCGACATACAATTTGTGCCATTGTGACTGAATGAAAAATTGTTTCCTTTGCTTTCCATATTCTCACGTAAAATGGTGCTTAAACGCAACAAGGTATTTACCCAGCATTTTGCATTTGGATTAAGACGATTTTAAGAAGTAACGTCAAAAAAGTTTTCACCCTTGCGAGTCGCTACTGCCTTTGAAGCACAAGTGACTTACCTACTGGTACATTTTTTCTTCGTAGTTTTAATTTTTTTACCCATTATTCTGCTCCTTTAGAAATCTATTTTCTTGCCGTATCCTTTGTTGTAATGGTCTGACTGTCTATTACTCTTTGTCGTCAAAATCTATATCATCTATCGAGTAGAATCATTCCGCTTAAGCTTCTGAAATCTTTAATAAAAAAATTTTTTTATATCATATTCATTCAGTAAATTTTGAGCGATTCATCGGTTATAGCCTTATAGGTCCTCCGCCATTTTCTTAATGGAATATTTTTAATTTTCTATTGGTTCAACGGTCTTCCCAGATGTCTGCAGCAGCAGCAACTTTTCTTTGTGGAGTCATCTTGAGCGAATGACGAATGCATCAATTCTTGTGGGTCGAGAAGTTCATTAGTTTTTTAAGTAGCTACATTTTTGAAATTTGAAAAATTGAAAAGTTCTATGGGATCCACGGGCCTTTGTATAGCATGAATGCGCTTGGATTTTACTCAAGCAAAATTATGTATTCAAACACTTAATTTTCCAGAAAGGAAAGAAGATGGAAGAAAATTGTACAACATATTTTACCATGTATTAGCAAAAGGGAACACCACACTTTAAGAGAAAATGGTATTGAACCATTTACAAAAAGCGCGAGTTTTCATCTGAACTTCATCGAAAAGACAATTAACTTTCTCCAACGAATTTGATCGTAAGATGACGTTATTCCACCTTCACCCATAGGTACATACCAAAATATACCTTTTGTTTAGTTTTCCAACGAGTATGGGCGTGTTACCTTGTTCTTAAGAAAATTAGATAACTTGATCCAAAATCTTGCTTCTGGCGGGAAGGTCTGGTCGAGACCTATCACGTTCATTCTGACATGATTATAATCCACACTTGATTAGACTTTGATCATATTCTTCCCGCCCGGTGAACATGATTGTAATCTTATATTATCACACCCCCTCCCCGATCATATTCTTCCCGGTGAACATGAATGTGATCTTATATTATCACCCCCCCCCCCCGCCCTTTTAAAGTTGTAAGTGTTTGTCTTATTCACCTTTTTGTTCCTTTGTGTCAAATTGTCAACCGTTTTTTGTTTAGTTTTCGGTGCTATTAGCGCTTATTGCAAATGAAGAAACATGAATTAATAGTTCCTCCCCCGATCATGATTACGTCAAAAAGTTGTTTAAACCCTGTAATTTTAATAAATCTAACGATTGAGGTTATTGTTCATTATTATAATTGGAAGTGTGCTCGCTTATTTCCTAATTATATTTCCTCGGTTCAGCGCTACAGAATAGAAACATTGTTAACAATTATAAAAAATAAACTTCAATAGGCATTTCGAGCTTTTTCATACGTTAATTCTCGCGTTAATTCTTCCAACAACGGCAAAACGAAGAATATGTTTTATATTGATTTGAATATTTGGCTTTTGTTGTTTTTTTTGGGGCGGAATTGTTAAATTATAGGTACGTCGACGTCGTCGCCTATTGAAATCTGAGCATTTTTATCATATAACAATAATTGAAAAAAAGTTGTTATTATGTCGAAACTGAAAGTGCCAGTCATTAAAATTAGTTGATTGATTACATTGAACCGATAGTTCTTTTGTATCGATGATAAGCGTAGGCAGTTGGTGTGTCGTATGTGTCTTTGTATTTATTAGCGATTTGCGAATTTAAAAGAAATGAAGACATCAATACTAACGTTTCAAGGTTAGTGGGAAATAATGGCGCTGGGCATTTAAAGAACTGCGCCCAAGATTCATTATTAGACCGCACGTGAAGTGGTATGAATAGCAGGGTAATATAATGGATTTGATTGAACATCACGAGATTAAAGCGTGAGAACACGATTATTTCAGTTTGACAACGCAGCAAATTTAAGTTCAATGGTGAACCTGAGGATGATCTATTGGAGGGGGACGAAAATTTCTCATTTGAACAATTTAATTAGCATACTAGTTTGTGGCAATTATCGATATGGACCGATTTATTCGTACGTGATCGGTTCAATAATAGATTCTGTAATTAAAATTTTAACTAGGATTGATGATAGTGCACGAGTGGTTAATATCATGCTGACTTCTCGAAATTCGGTTGGTGGCCAAGAATTTCTACGACTTTTTGGTAGGGCCAGCGTAGAATATTAATTGGTGGATGCGCTCAGGTATAGGCCGAGCTTATTGTGCTTGTGACTGTTGCGGCGTTTATATACATAAGCGGCCCTTCTTTTTTTAAATCTTAATAAATAACTGAAATTTATACGCATTCCGCCTAGCTATTAAATAATATCTGATACGCAATCGGGTGGTTTATGAAATGATGTAGGAATTTTTTCCGATTTTTTGGAGAGGAGTGCTTTCGGTTTGAATAGAAAGTGAGCGAGTCTTGCTAGTATTTAATTTTACCAATTTGATTTCTACAATCCCTGGTTTAATGAATCTCGCGAACAGGCTGAACGGGTCCGAACTAATGGGCATTCCGAGCGAGCCAGTGCCCGCGACCTTCATCCCTGCTGCTTTACCTGGCCTTCTCTTTGCAAAAACTAGAATTCTTCACCGTTGTGGCGCTCAAGAACAATGCCAAAAGTAGATAGGTATTGCAATACGAGATCGCACAATGGTTGTTACAACTACCTATTATGGATCGCAAATAAATGCTGTTGTCGTATTAAAACCGTTTATGACCAGAAAATTCATTTTGTCTTTCCTAGTAATTTCATCCAATACTCTTTTGTTTCAGAAATGCGAACTTCTAGTCGTCAGTAAGCTGAAATGGGATTTGACAGTGGTGACACCGCAGGATTTTTTGGCACACATCCTTAGGAGGCTACCTGTTGAATCTATAGGAATAAAGTACAATATGGTTAATAGTCACGCCAAAACACTTATAGCCCTTTGTGCGAGAGGTTAGTACATCTTTACGATCCACTTTGAATACCTACCTTAACCTCCTTTATATTACTTACGCGAAATATAAGCATCTTTGTGGTTTTAAAGATGAATGGCTGTTTAATTTCGTGCTCAAGGTCCAGACGATCGTTTGAGCTGTCGGCGTAACCTAAATGCGGCCCCTAGGAGACTGAAATAATTTTCGCAATTTTCCCACAACTCTAAATCTGCACGTTAAACTTTATTTTGTCTATTTGCATATCTTTACCCCGGCGCGCCTTTTGATGTATTTACGCGTGACAGTGCTTAAGTACATAACCTGTTATTTTAACTCTCAATTTTAGAACCGCAAAATAACTTATTTTACCTGTATTCTGTAGTTTGTGGCGACCATGGTCCATCGCGTGTACCGTTAAAACTGACCGCTGTGACAAAAGGAATAAGCTCAAATTGAAAAAAACTGACCTCACTGAAAAGGTTCGTCAAAACCCCCCTATTTTAGAGCTTTATTTCATAATTTTATCAAAACCATCTTAATTACTTTATGTACATTGTGATATAAGTCGCGCCACATAAGTATAAGATAATACAAAAAAACAAGTCTCGCGATTAGTGAGGCACCACGACTATCATGGTACCAACTATTTTTAATTTTTATGTATCAGTGACAAAATGACTTTGCAAAATACAAAGTCCTCAAGGGGTGGCTTTTTATCAAAAAACAATCGCCATGGTCGCAATTAGTTTGGCAGCCGATGGACTTCATTTTTATCAACACTCCTTTGAAGGTTTTGTTTAATGTACCCTTTACTCCGATGCCAGTTTCCATGGAAGAGTAGATCAAAAGCCATTTCGAACTATAATTTCCCATAGTTTCAATTACAAAGCGATTTTCAATCTAATTGAGAACGGGTTTCTTGTCTAATGACGCATTAAAGTCTCCAAACGACGCTACACCCTTTTTCTATCCCGGCCTCAGTTTCGACCTCTAAATCAGCACGGAACGTTGCTATAGCTTCAGACCGATATTCGGAGATTTCCCCGTGTACGTTTTGAAGGTCTTTTTGCCACAGGTGTCCAATTTAGCCTAGAAAAATAGGTCGTTTCCAAACTGTTTTTTGTGTTAATCAATTTTGACCGACTGTCAAATCGCCGAAAATGTTCCCAAACCCAACAGTGGAAATGACAACACTTAATTATACACATTAGAGGATCATTTTTCAATAGTGTGTCCCATTTTTCACAATTACAGTAATTTACTGGAAACGAAGCAAAGGTGAAAGTGTTCGATTTGATTTTTTTTGCTTCAGATTACCCGCTACGTTACTAAATGTAACCATTAACTTCCTGCAAGCGAGCAACTGGTTTTTTAATTTATTCTGAAGAATTCGTCATCCCTACACGTATTTCGACATCGAACAGTGAACCACAAATTTTAATTTTAAGTGATAATGGTAAACATATCTCGATCGTTTGCCGATTTGAATATTTGGAAAGTGGGCTGTCTGTCTTGAGGTGCGATTTTAATGAAGTTATGAATGGTAAGTCCGCCAATAATGTTCACCCGTATAAGTTTTCTTCTTGTGTGGTGCGGAGAGAGACCTCACATAGAGGAAGGGGTACGCCATAAGTTAAGCTCTAATCATTGTTACGTTTATTTTAATATAACGTGAAACTTCACGTGATGATTTGTAACTGAAATTCCAATTACGCCTACAGTGTTTAAATTAATTTATTCTTCCATTTTTAAAGTGCAATACTTCCTTACGTGCAATTTTATTACTCTTGTTCTCACAGTAATAGGCGATGGGCGGGTGGGCCACCCGCGGCTTAACTTATCGGAACTGCGCACCGCTCCAAAAAGAGGACAAGGTTTAAGGTCCGTCGTCAAAGCGTCTTCCCTTAACTTCTTCGGTTCTTAGTCTGCACCGCAGACCTATAAACTTGCTGCCGCTACTTCAATAAAACAATACACCCACCACAGCATTCTCTGCTTTATAGATTTGCAGGATCAACTAGTTATTTTCCTCTGGAATTCCTTTATGCCAATTAGATTTTATGAACGCTCTTCACATACTCTCGACGTTCACGCTAGCATATTAACGACGTTTTATCTAATTTATACATGCTTTACAATGATTCGTTGGTTTTAAGTGATGCAACGCGATTATTTGAATTAATTTCAACTCGCCAATGCAATTACTTTTAATTTGTACAAAGCGAAACTTGCGTTTTCCATTTGACAACCTTCTGCTGCCGTTTCGTCTACTACTTTACTTTGCCCGAAAAATTTGCATATTATAATAAACAGGTAAATGTTACTCAGTAGTGTCATGGCCGGACGATTGTCCCGGATGACTCTGAGATTCATCCTGAATATAAATGTGTGGGTTTCGCAAACCAATGTCAGACTATAGGAAAAGTTACGTAGCAAAGGAAGTCCGATATCAAATATCTTGTTTTAAACAGCTGTGATAAGAATAACTAAAAGGCATTAAATGCATACAAAAACCGTTACCAACGTAGTGCGGCGAACTTCTTGAACGCTACGAGCAAGTTGGTCATCTTAAAAAAAATCTTAATTTGCGTCAACTTTATGATTGTCGGAATCATTCTACAGAACCCTACAAAATGGTTCAAAGACCTCTGACGTCATCCAGTTAGCCTTGTATATTCCAGACCCACGAAGCCACCAAAATATTTGGCGTACCTCATAAAAACTCGAGTACATTTGGTCACGCTTTTTATTAATGATAATTTAAGTTGAATTCATGCGTGAATGAATTTGTTCCGTAGAGAGGCAGCAGGCAGACATCCTGTATTTTCCTTCATTTTCATCAATTAAACAAATCGTTTCTCCATCCGACATATGTAAGCCGAAATAATTTCACCAGGCGCCCTCCATAATATGTAACGAGAACAATTCATTTGACTGTAAAATTATGAGAAAGCGTATTTAAACAGCGATGGTCCATTATTAAACAGTGGTGTTAAAAGGAATTTCAACACCTGAACACTTCTCTTCTGTCAACTTCGTGAGGAATTTCCAGTTTAAATTGTGCAAGGTACAACTGCCGAAGAAGAGCCAAACTGGGCGGCATCGCTCGGAAACCCTTTCATCACGTTTTCGATGCACTTTTAGTCCGCCGGTCGGCTTACACTAGTAATTTAAAACTAATTTCCTCTCTCCATCATACATACGCTTTTGGCGTAATTAAATTCCTTCTCTCTTTCTTTCCCACTTTCCAGTCTATACCTTCAAATGAACAGAAATTTCAAACATACCTCTTTGTTCCAGATTTCGACTTCACGAGTTATCTACCGAGCACAATCGCTTCAGCTACTGTAGCATCGGCGCTGTGTGGTTTAGGGTGGACTAGTAAAAGTGGCCGAACTTTCAATGACCTCTTACAAATGCTCCACGAAATAACCAACACTGAACAGGTACGTATTGGATTTAAAAACCAAAAATAATCCCCCCAGATTCTCTAACAGGTGACATACTGCCATATGTTAACACTACCGAAATAAAAAAAACTTAACTGCCTTGTGTGTAGCCCACCAATTACTTTTTGCTGCCTAGTTTTTATAACGTACACATAAATTAGTCAAATGTGTTCAGTTTTTCTCTCATTTTTTTCGGCCCAACCGAATTCAAGAGCAAAGTGTCATTGTATTGATCTCTTCTTCCTTTTTTTAATCTCTAACTGTAATGTTCTTTTTTTATTTACAGGATTATATTCTAGACTGCTTTAAACAAATAGAAAATATGGTTAGGGTATCATCGTCGTCAAGTCAAAGTAGTTCCAGTTGCTCGACGCATGGTGATTTAGATAATTTTTCGACTTGCTCGGTCAGGGCGGACGAATTTACGCCACCGCCGTCCACGTCCGACAAATTACAAGAGCAGGAATCGGCGGGAACTCCGACAGACGTGAGAGATATCCACTTTTAAGGGATCATAGTGATATATTTAATTAAGATAAAGTAATGAAGGAAAGTCATGAGTGGCATAAGCGTATTTCTGGTGCAGCCAAAAGATCTAAAAAGTATTTATGTGGTGATCTGCTGGCGAGGCAGAGGAGAAGAATTCATTTTTTGTGCAATTTGCCACAAAAAACGATGTGGAGAACTTATTGTACCTAAGATAAACAGAATTTATGTGCAAGTCATGGTTTCGGGGGGAAGGCAATACATTACGCTTTAATAAGAACTATTTAGTTTAAGAAATACCTACTTATTTGTTTCATTCCTGCTGTATCCTTTATGGTAAGGGTGCAGCAGAAACCAATAAAACACTTAGTCAGTGTAAATACACAAATTGCCTTGCAATCTCTGTTCCTACAACAGAAAAGTGTTCCATTAAGTAATTTTAAGCTAGTTTAGGATTACTTTTATACCCATGTATCGTTTACTTTAGATCGAAATTTGCAAAGACTGCTTAATTAGTAAATAATTATTAACTTTTGTTACTGATAAAATATACAAAATATTAGTACCAATTGCTCACAATAGAATGTCTTCCATTCATCGGTTCCGTTGTGCCCTTATGAGCGGCACATATCTACCTTTACAAATTTATAACTGTAGCAGCAATACATGAACAACAATCAATGCAACGATTTATTAATGTGTTATATTTTTATAGTATTAATTATTGTAATCCCAACTAACGCTGATATTTTTATAATCTGCTTTTTTTGAATTTGTAGTACCATAATGTTCATTCTAATCTACAAATGTGATTACCGTATATACGAGACGATTTGTGATTCAATTTTAAAATCTATGCCATACAAAGCACCTTAGTGTGTTATTTGACCTACACAGGAAATTTGAAATTAACCAACTTATAGTACCTAATGCGCTTGGGCATATTTATTAGCATATATATTATATAATTGTTTTTCGCTGAAATGAAAACTAGTGTACATATTTAAAAATGTTATATAAAATTGTAAATATCCATTCTCACCAACCACACTCACTGCCATTTCAAACAATATTTCATGAAGCTACATTTTGTCATTGCTCACAATAGTATATAAATTAATAAAATATACCTCAATACAGTTCCATAAAACAGAACCAGTATAAATATTAAAATATTTTATTGTAAATAAATCACATATCATATTTTATGCTTATTTTGTAATTTTTGTTATGTAAATAATTATATGGAGAATATTTCTTTTATAATAAAGATTTTCTTTAAAATTTATGTGTATACATTTTACGACCTTGAAAGTTTTTGAAGAAAAAATTTAAAAAAAATGGAAGTAGAACTGGGCAGTTCTTGGGACTGTTCAAAATACCTGGTGGCCTGTATTGAAAGTACTTTCAATCTCTTGTGAGTTTCGAAACTTTGCAAAATGCAAACATTGAGGGCTTGCAAGTGTTTTTCAGCGTACAAAAAGCATAAAGGTGAATAGCAAGACACTATGTATTAAGGACATCGATTTTGTTTCCCATAGGTCTCAGGTCTGCACTATTATTTGAATCTAAATCTCGCGTGTTCAAACCAAAAGGGATTAAAATTGATGTTTTTGGAGTGATACAACTGATACAAGTATTACTAGGATACTCTTTTTCCCTCCGTCTAGTTTCAAATAAGCTTTTATAGTCTCACTAAAATTAGAAGAAGAAATATTTTGATGTGCCAAAATTCAGGATCGCTGATAATATGTCTAGAAACGGTGTATTATCGAGGGATATATACAGGATTATGGAAAAAAGTTTTGAGGTTCTTCAATGTCTACTAGGCAGTAATAATTTTAATTATACATGGTTGGTCATAAAGCGTGAAACACCAAAATTGCATTTTTGCTAATGGAACACCCAGGAAATGAAGGTTTTGCTCTGGTAATTTTTTCAAAATGCATCAATTAACTTAAAATTTTGATCGTAGGTAGGGAATAACCTAAGGATCAAAATCTATATCATGCCAAAGGGCATTTAAGACGTTTAAAACGTGTATATATATATGCAAGCACTACCCTGCTTGAGCCCTTTAAGCTCACCCCTATAAAACTAAGAGTTTTAAAAGGTTGTTTAAAAACATTCACAATTTTTTTCGAAAAATTTTGAAAGAAAAAATCGGAGCATGGTGATTACATGACCGATAGATATTTAGGATATTACACACTAGAAACTTACATGCATTCACTGATATCCATTCCATACACCTATACATTTTCAGTATGTATTGTATATATAATTGTATTTAAAAAAAATACCACCGTAAAGAATACTGTTGATGAACTACCTTTTGAATATCGTTTTGAGCATTTTAATAATTTGAATTTAATGATTAATTATTTTAGTAATTTAGGTATGAGTACAATATGCTTATTTAATTTTTTTTTAAATAATAAAAAAAATTAAACAAGCAAAACAAGACTGTTAACAAGATATTCTGTATTAAGTTAGTATTAAATAAGAATAATGTTTGATCTGATTTTATTGCTTATAAGATTTATCATTTTAAATATCTTTGATATACCATTTTGACTTACGATGTTTAAAAGTTCGAAATTCATTTGAACCTTACAAAAAAAGAAAACAAATAACCCTACGACCAACACAAATAGTGTAATTTGTATTACAATCATGGTAGTTTCCTGGATAGTAGTTTCGTCGTCACCCGGTATGTACTTCGTCCCACTCGTACACTCACCTTTATATTGAGATAACTTTGTATAATAGTTCTAGTGATTAAAAGTAGTTACAATGCCCCCGATATTTGACAGTTTCAACTATAACCTGCCTTTTATATGAAATATTACACCCCCACAAATATAAATGTTAAAATTCAAATTTCTCTCCTCAAATATCAAAATTATAGGCATTCAGTGTAATTTTAATAAATTATCAATTTCGTCTCAATTGACAGTTAAGTGACATATTTATCATTGAATTGACATTGAAACTAGGTCATGTTTTAAATAAATAATTTAGATGAAACGTAATATAAGTATTTAATTTTCATGCTGTAAATAATAGACAAGTTAAAATGAGAAGTCGAAGTAACTCGGGAGTCCGTTTGGACTATTACCAAAGAATTGTACAGAAACTGATTATGGCCCATCAAAACCCAGTTACGGGATTATTCCCGTCCAGCCCAGAAAACCATCACGCCTGGATTAGAGATAATGTTTACTGCACACTGGCCGTGTGGGGTTTGTCGATGTCCTATAAAAAGATGGCCGATCAGGATGAAGATCGTGCCAAGGCGTACGAATTGGAACAATCGTGTGTAAAACTCATGCGTGGTTTGCTAATGGCCATGATGCAACAGACAGATAAAGTAGAGAATTTTAAAATGACGCAGAATCCATTAGATTCCTTACATGCTAAATATTCGTCAACCACCGGGCAGACTGTAGTTGGTGACTCCGAATGGGGACACCTGCAAATTGATGCGATTGCACTGTACCTTCTAGTTTTAGCGCAGATGACAGCTTCTGGTTTACAAATCATATTCAATTTGGACGAAGTTGCTTTTATTCAAAATTTGGTTTTTTACATTGAGTCTGCTTATTGCACTCCTGACTACGGTATTTGGGAACGTGGAGATAAAACAAATCATGGACTTCCAGAGTTAAATGCCAGCTCAATAGGGATGGCCAAGGCAGCGTTAGAAGCGATGAACGAAATTGATCTGTTTGGAGCTAGGGGCGGCCCCTATAGTGTAATTCATGTTTTAGCAGACGAAGCTCAGAAATGCCAAGCCGTTTTACAAGTATTTTGAAATGTTAATTCGAACTATACCAAACTTTTCTCATTACAGTCTATGCTTCCTCGCGAGTCAAACTCTAAAGAATTGGATAGTGGTTTGCTATCCATCATAAGCTTCCCAGCATTTGCCGTCGACGATCCTATTCTTATACAGCTTACACGTGACACTATAGTTGGAAAATTGCAAGGTAGATTTGGGTGTAAAAGGTTTTTACGGGATGGTTACAGAACACCAAAAGAGGTTTTGTGATGCAACACTTTTTGTTGGGGATTTTAATTGAATTTTTAGGATCCTAGACGACTATATTATGAACCTTGGGAGTTAAGAATGTTTGAAAATATTGAATGCGAATGGCCGCTATTTTTCTGCTACCTAATTTTGGATTATTGCTTTCAAAGGAACAAGGACGTTGCTTTGGAATACACTGAACAATTAGAAGATGTAAGGAAATTTAGTAAATATATTAACACCTTTTAACAAGGCCCCAATTTAATTTTCTTGTTGATTGTGTCTGATTTAGGTATTTTTAGATTATGATTAGAACGGAAGATGGCATAAAGTTGGTTCCTGAATTATACTCTGTTCCAGCTCAGCTTGTCAATGCTGAGTATAGAGAACCGGGCACTCAAGAGAGAATAGCTTTGGGACAGTGTCCCTTTTTATGGGCTCAGTCATTGTATATTCTGGGCAAATTGTTGCAAGAGGTAGGTTGTTCATGCCGGACGAAGGGCACCTACATTTATTTACTGCCTTAGATTAATAAAGGTGGTAATATTCTGTCATTAAAGCCCCTCTAATTAGAATCAGAATTTTAATATGTACAGGGTGATAAAAACATTTCAGTTAATTTTTCACTCTCACTTTGGTGGTGTTTTGTTAAGACGATGTTTCATTTTATTTTGCACAAAGGTGCCATTTGATAAACTCATCATTCCCCTCTCGAATACCTTAAATATTGCCCAATCTATTGATTGAATTGCAAAATTAGAAAAATGAAAAGATGCCTATTCATCAAAAACTGTCCATTTTTACCACCCGTACATTAATAAGGGAGGTATTGCATTGGGGTAAAAAATGACTCACCCACTTCTTTACGGAAATACACGTTTTGAAGCACCAGGAATCTGAATCAAACAAATTCTCAATGATGTCGGTCTGTCGTTCACTCTCATTAACGGCTGAACCGGTTGGAACCAAATTTGGTACACATATTCATAAACATAAAAGGAAACGCCGAAAAGCTTTTGGGCAGAATCGCCCTTTGAGATGTGCCCCTTATTGTACGATCTTCTCTTTCTCTTCTTTTCTTTATTAGGCGATGGTAGTATTTTTGAAATCCCCATGGCGAAATGTACTTCAGTACTTCCCAAAAGGTCATAGCTATGTGCGCTATGTTTTTCTTTACTATAGGCATATATGGTTAAAATTTCAAAGAAATATCTTTATAAATAAAAAAGTTGGCACTGACTGCGCATGCGCACATCTAATATTTGCAATATCAGATATGTTTGCCTTTAACAGAAGCATGTGTGAATAAAATTTCAAAAAGATATCTCGATACATAAGACATTTGATATTGCATATCCTGCGCATGCGCACATTAATCTGATGTTTACAATATGCGATACGTTTGCTTTTACTAAAAGCATCTTTGGTTAAAATTTCAAAGAAATATCTCGATAAATAAGAAAGTTAGTATTGCGCAGTCGCACATCTGATTTTTACTATATGCGATATGTTTGGCCTTTACTAGAAGTATCTATAGTTAAAATTTCAACAAAATATATTAATAAATAAAAAAGTCGACATTGCGCAGCCTGCGCATGCGCAGTTTAATCGTCCTTGGCTCAGGCGCCAGAGTATACGCTACCGAATGCAAAAAGAACGAACGAAATATCTTGAAAACTGTGGGAGTAGTTAAGGCCTCGGACAAACAGACGGACGGACAGAGAAAGTGGCTGCGATAGCGCACCCAACTTCGCTGGAAAATACGTTAAAAATGTAAACTTCGTAAATAAATGACTGTACTGCCTGTGACGTCATTTGATTTAAACGACTGCGTCCGTTTCCGTGGTAACGGTGCGGCGTACCAATAACCAACCGTAGACGTAATAAGCGAACGAATAGGCATCGTATGCGAATAGGTCAAGTGACGTCACGCTGAAGCGAAATTATTTTTCCAAATAAATTTAAAGCTGAACATGCAAATGGCTCGGGTACCGCCTACATTTTTTGAAACATCACGTTTTTGACAAACACTACTTCGCATATTGTCGCTAATGCAGATAAAAACATTTATCTAAAACGAAAGGCTAGGCTTTAATGTAAACGACTTAATGGTGTGTGTTGAGCCCCCCGGATTATTTCTGTGCATAAAGAAAAATAAATTATGGCATAAATATTCTTATAAATAAGAAACCTAGCATTGCGCATGACTATAATCATTGTGTATGCACCTCATACTTTGTAATTTTTAGGGATTTTTAGCCCCAGGAGAATTAGACCCATTAAATAGAAGATTATGTTCAGAGAAGAAGCCTGACGTGGTCGTTCAGGTTGTAATCTTAGCCGAAGATTCTCGAATTAGAGACAAATTAGCCGAGCACGACGTAATGGTACAGACAATTGCAGAGGTCGCTCCGATTGAAGTGCAACCAGCGAAGGTACTATCCCACCTTTATACATATCTAGGTATGCACGCACGGACTGTATTAACATCGTTTTATTTTGTTCATTTAAAGGACGCAATAAAAAGTTAGGTCTGTCAGGGCGCAAGTCGCGCGATGTGGGAATTTTGAGCACAAGTAAACTGTACTCTTTGGGAGATAAGATTTTCGCCTTCACTCCGCAGGTTGGTAATTACGATAGTCAAACAAACCCAATTGTTACATACAAATAATTTTGTTATGCAATAGTTCACAGATATGTCTCAAAATTACATTGCGACGGACTATGAACTAATGATAGATATTTGCAAGAGCGAAATTAATTTCTTGAAGTCAAGTTGGCAAAATATTATGGGCCGGCCGCTAGTAACAATTGCCTGTCGAAATATACATTTAGGTATTGACAATGATAGCTTTTTTTGCTTACCAAGGTAAACTTTGCAATCGGTGCTTTGTCGTAAAGTTTATTTTGTAAAAGCACGTTTTGTCTTGACACTAACCTTGTCGGTTTTTGTAACGAAAGTTTTCCAAAACATTGTGATTATTGAATTATTGCATTAGTTTACTAACACACTTAATTAAAATTATATTTACCTATAAAGGTGGAATGTGGTATGTTGCATGTGCATCTTTTCCTGGGGTAGAGTTTTGACATGGAGGAGTATTACACAAGTCACGATAGTGGACTATTGGCGGATAAGTTCACAACAAATCTCGCCTTCTTAACGATGAATTGGCGCCATATGCTTGGTAGACCTATTATTATTCTACTGGCTAGTGGCCATGTTCTAGGTAACATTTTAATTCAATTATTGCTTATGGTAGACCAAATGTGCATATTAGAAGTTTAATAATTTGATGTAATTGCACTTAGTGTAGTCGTGAATGTGATTTACCAGTAGTCATCATCACACCTTGATGATCCATTAATAGGATGTCGCACTTCTTTCAGTAGTACCATTTATTTTATCCACACCGATTTCCTTTGCGATTAACTAACAGTATTGCTTTGTAAGCATGTTGTGCATGTTTCGTAAATAAAATTTATGTTCTTTGTAATTTCACAGTGGTACAAATAGGCAACTCTAGCGTGATGGAAAGTTGTTCTTCCGTGATCATTTTAGAAAAAATAACCGCGTTCGCCTATTTTTCAGTTTTGTTAGATTTTTCAATCAATTGGTGTAGTTTTTCCTTTTAACCATTACAGTAATTGTTAAATCATTTCTTTTCCTTAGAAAGAAACGTACAAAAGGAGCGATAAGATTAAGTAAAAAAAACCAATGGGGTAGGATTTATTTCATTTCTACAGAATGTAACAAAACTTGGGAATGCGCTATTTTCCGCAATTCTAAAGGTGTGTGTATAGGGGAAAAGAGCGTTGTATATCTACACCTGTAATCGGCGAATATTTAAATTTTGGGAATTAAAAATATTGAGGAAATTTTTATACCCTCTGGAATCTGTTGTTTCGTGTACAATTAAGAATTTCCATAACACGCTAGATGTGGACGATACAGGCTGCTACTTTCGTATTTCCTTAGACAAGGAAAGATAGAGGAGGGATAAATGATGATCGTAAAGTGAAGCAAATTTGGGTTCTGTTTGCCACCAATAACATGGCCGCCCATCTAGTCGCCTACAGTGCTTTTTCGTAGGATTAAAGAAGTAACTGTACTGTACCATTTCCAAAAAATAACAATGAAGTAAATTTATATGCTTACATAATTACGCACGGCCGAAAATGCAAACATCTACACGATATAAATTTTGTGTTTTTACCGCACCAAGCTATCCGAAAATTTGCATCCCCCCCCCCTCCATAGTCTAAGCTTATTTCTTATGGGCGCCATATTGGATTTTTACGTGAGATACACGACTTCTGATGGCTAATTTCAGAAATATACATTCAATGTAGCCATGTGGGTTTACAGGATGTTGCTTCTATGATTTTGAGGGTCTTATACAAATGTGGTATTCTTGGCGTGGAGATTGATTGTATGTGTATAATGAACGTAGGTATAATCAATGGGCAGGAATATGTATTCCAGGGGTATCCCTTGGATCAGATCGGACAACAGAGATATCTATGTGAGATCATACCTTTGAAAGTTGATACTGAAGTTTAGTTTTCTGGTTCATTTCTAAAAATCAGATTAACACGCAAATTTCGAGTCTCAATTTATGCGAAGTTTCTCCCCTACCAACAGAATTCCAGAATAGGCAACACTCTTCCTTCCTTTATACCTTTATAATAGTAAAGTTTTTCAAGTTTGGATTTGAGCTTTGCGCTAGATCCCAGAAATTTAGTGGAGACCAACCTCTCAGAAAAGTTACTATAATACGTCGAAATAAGTGCAGGGATTTTCTGTTTGTTGCCTCCACGTTGATTGCGCCAATGATGTTGATTTTTCTTACTGACTGGCTGACTTGTAATTGCTCCTTATGTTATAGCTCGTTATATGAAACTTACCTTTTTGCTTTGCCTATATAAATACCTGTTATGTAGTATGTGGTAAATAAGGAATGTGGTATTGGTATATCCATAACTTAAGGGTAAATTTATGGTAACAAAAATTGGTAACGTATTGCTCTATAAAGCGCCAATTTTAAACATCCCATCAACGTAAACACCGATACGTTACCTGAATCATACCTTTAAATCAATAAATACTATCAAATGCAGCTAATATATCGTCTGTTGTATTTATTATGCAAACGTTATAGGTTACATATAAACAATTCCATGTAATTTTCCTAACAGAAAACATCTATGTTAAATAGATACACAAAACAACGAATACTCTTATGATAAATTGAATTCAAAATGTGACGTCACAGGAAAATGTAGTAAATGCTAAGAGTAAATGCGGTTTCCAACATAATTACGAAAAGGTAAAAACGACGAAAAATGCAGGATTGTTACGACACCTTCAAGTTGATATCAGCATATTAACAACAAAAACTTTCTATGTAGTGGCGATTCTTCTCGTACATGAATTGGAAGTAAGTCATATAAATACCTCTTCCAATATGCTCAATTTCCGTTTAAAATTATTTCTACTCGTTCATCAATTGTTGACATGTATGGAAAAATGCTTGTGGAACAATATTCAGCACTTTTTCCATTAAAGATAATAACTAATTTAAACGCACATGTAAATATACTTCAAACTTGTGTTGAGTTCTTGACGCCTCTCATGAATGTGGGACTAATTTCGTTTACATTTAAATATTAAATATAGCTATTCCCTGTAACGTACGTTTGGTATAGGAAATGTGTATGATAATTCAAAAATATACAGGGTGACTTTTTTTTTTGATTTTCAGTATGGGGATCTCGCAAACCGTTGTGCTGATAAATTTCGCCATTCATATCCCATTATTATGGCAATAATTCCATGGCCGTGTTGATGGTGACTGCGAGACAATAACCAAAATAATGAATTTGGTTTCAATCACAATCAGCTATGGAATTATTGCTATAAGAAATACATTGTAAACTTAAAGACAGAGATTCAAGGTTGATTCTCAAGTAAATTACTAACTGTTTGGTAACACTGGTTTTGTAATTTTTTTTAAATTTGTCAAGTGATTACATTACGTCTATAAGAAATAAAGATGTGATTTACTCCAAACAAACAAGTGATAAAAATTTTATTTTATCACCATCAGAAAGCTGAGGCAAAATTACTTGCGAGTTTGTTAAAATTATTTTTTGATATCTACAATGGGAAAATTAATCAGCATATAATTCTGCATAACTTTTTGTCTCTTACGGTATCCGAGATCCCTATAGTGAAAAAGAAAAAAAATCACCCTGTATATTTAGGTATAACTACCTACCATCTCATGTTTTTGAAAAAAAAACATTACTATAAAGGTTACCACAAATTGCGATAAACTTCCGACAGAATTACAATTACAACTTTCTATATTTCCTTTTTTTTTGCTGCTGAATTGTATGCGGAGATCCCTATCCATAACATGAATCGGTGCCGGTACCGCGAACGCCACCAGGAGATTCTCATATCTTGCCCCTCGTCAAGGACGGTCGGTTCCCCTTGCGGAAATTTGGAAGTCACAGGTAAATAAGTTTGAGAAAACGGACAACTCGAGGGATCTTACACGGCGATCGGTCACTGGCGAATAATCTAAAACATGGCAAAACAACAATTACCCTAAACGGGAGCGGAAGCAAAAATTTCATTAATCAACTATCGCGAAACCAAGGAAGAGACTCCTTAGCAACGGTAACAAAAAGTGTTAAACACCTACCTTGAAATTATATTCAAGGCATTAAGTTATTCTGTGCAATCGTCGACTCATCCTGTAAATACACTTTTCCTTTTTCACTTTCTTTTCTTTAACAATTCCATAACGATAACAATGAAATTATATGGCGTTTTCAGTTTACCATCGATATTTAGTAAGGTATGGCCTGTCCAAACAAAACAGTACCATACCATAGGCCTTCGGATAATAGGCACTCTAAAGGATTCACTGCCTAGGCGTGTTTTTAAAATAATCGCGATATTGACAGCTTTTATGGTGTATTTTATGCACACTGAAGCGCTTATAGTATTGCCAACCAAATTGACACAATTACAAATTTTTTTATTTAGTTGCTCATTTGTCCTGATCGAGTAGGTATAAGACATGGTCTGCAGAAGCTATTGGATGCCTATACTGATTACGTTTATGTTGCTTTTTTGTGTATAGTTAAACTTGGTGATTGTTCTTTTGTACATTTCACACTTAGCTACATCATACTTAGAAAAATTAGCCAATTACTATTCTAATTAAAGACGCATGATAATACAGGGATGAGTGTTGTAACGCTTTTTGGCCCACTAACAACGAATCGCCATTACAAACGCACATCTAATCTTTGTTTCAATCGAGTAGAGAATGGAAAAATTCCACTTGCGATGATAACAACAATGAAGAAATTAAAATCAGGGTACATTAATGGCACCAGGGTAACATTGGGCAATCTGACCGACTTTTTAAGTACCAGCTGTATTACGAACTTAAGCTTCTTGGGAAATCAAGAGGAAGGCTTGCCGGATAGTAAATATCTGATCACATCAAACTGGTCACTGTATACGTCCTTTTTAGAGTTAAATACCCAAGTCAGGCAGTACTTGGAAGAACATTTAATGAAGACACTTTCGACCAAATCGTTTTTGTTAAACACATCCGCATTAACAAGTAAGAAAAGTCGCTACATCAAAAGGAAAATGTCTGTTCGAGGTGCCATCAAGAAAACCAGGTCTATCAATGTTGACTGTAAGTCTTTGTTTATTTCGATTACTTTGCTATTTATCAATTGGGTATTGCTTTTTTCGCTTGCAAGGTCTCACAAAAGGTATGCATTTGGTGTTGTCTGATGAGAATTAGTTTTAATTACTCATTTTGTTACAGCGGAAACGTTGGGAATGGAGGCGGGAGTTCTAGAGAGAAAAGGATCTGTTTATGTTCCTGCAAATGCTTTTCTAGATGTAGACCATGGAAGTATGATGGGGAGGTCCCCATCTCCCGATGATGCCCGAAAGGACGTTCCATTGGAACCAACTCCAGCTGCAAAGTTACTTTTAGGTCAAAAAGATGCCCGATTGAATAGCATTGGACGTAACAGAAATACCTCAGAAACTCACTATGCCGATACCGAGGTTGTGTGCATTTCATTTGTTTTTATACCTACGGCTGTTGTAGGTGGACGAATTGTTTGCGATGCTTCGAGAGTCTGAAGTTTTGGATGAGCAGGGCGATATTTTGCAATACCTTGTGGACACGAAGGGGCTTGATTTTCAGACTGACATGATTGATAACGGCCGAAAGGTGACCGTACGCGACCTGTTAAAAGGACTCTACGAGAAGGCTTGTCAACAAAAGCTATGGGGTTTAGTGCGCCACACTGCCGGAATGTTGGGCAAGCGCGTGGAAGATTTGGCGAAGGCAGTGACTGATTTGTTGGTTCGCCAAAAGCAAATTACTGTGGGGATGCCCCCACATAACGAGCACACAATCACCGCACCTTTGCCAGAGGCCGATCTTCGTTTACTTATTCATGAAGCTTATGGGGAGGATGATAGTACCGCAATGTTAACTCAAGAACTGCTAGTATATTTGGCTATGTTTATCAGAACAGAACCCCAATTGTTTCTGGAAATGTTAAGGTTGCGTGTGGGGTTAATTATACAAGTTATGGCCACTGAACTGTCGCGCACGATCATCTGTGGGGGAGAAGAGGCCTCAGAACATTTGTTAAATTTGAGCCCTTTTGAAATGAAAAATCTGTTGCTTCATATTATAAGTGGAAAGGAGTTTGCAATTAGTAGTGGTAAGTTTAGAAACTTTAATCATATTTGTAAGTATTATTCAACTCTCTAAATAGTTCAAATTATTTAGTACTTAACTCAGCAAGCCAATCGTTTTGGAAGATCTAAAATGGGAATGGGAGGAATACAGGTTTGAACTATTACAATTTAACGATCCTACCTGTTGGGCAGTTTTTCCATTTTCCAGGAAAATTGTGTGATAGGTATTCTCGCACGATTAAAGCGTTGTGCGCGGGACCACCATCCTGTTGAAACCAACAGTTTCAGTTTCCAACTTTTGTCCTTTTGTGCCGTACATCGAATTTATAATAAAAAATCAGCAAATTTCTGTTTTTTTGGCATATCTTCGGATGTAATTGAATTTTTCATTCCAGCATGATAATAACTGTTTAATTCGCAACTTTTCCGAAATTTGACCATCTACCTATCTTCGGAATTCCTCATTATTTTTGGGTATTCTGCATAACATTTGCGTCCGTGTTAGGTGTTATAATTTGTTTTGTAGTGAAAATTTATTCGTTAAAAATAATATGTTATTTCGTTAATTAACGATTAACGGATTACCGCTTTTTTGCTTAAATTTAGGAATAGAATGGATATTATCTCAAAACTAATGTCTAACTTATATTTTAGTTGGCCGAGGTAATTTTTCCATCATCAGTTCGAAATCGGCTCGCGTTAGCAAAGTAAGAAAGATAAATTTCTCTACCATACAAAACTTTCCAATCCTCTTTGTAGAAAAGCCAAATTGGTGGGCTATTGGCAGCTGCCGATTCTGATTCAGAAGACGCAGTCGACTCGGACAAGCAGGGACAATGGTTGAGACGTCGCCGATTGGACGGAGCGCTAAATCGCGTGCCAAGAAATTTTTACCCTCGCGTTTGGTCTGTGTTAGAGCGAGTATGTTGTCGTCTTACATTTATTTGTGAAGATCGCTTCATTTATGTTTTAGTGTCACGGTTTGGATATTGCAGGACGGGTTTTATTACCAAATTTGACTCAAGAAATGACGCCAGGCGAGTTAAAATTCGCACTTGCAGTTGAAACGGTGCTGAATTCCATACCTCAACCTGAATATCGGCAGCTTATTGTTGAGGCTTTAATGGTGTTAACTTTAGTCTCAGAATACAATGTGGCCACTTCCCTAGGGGGCGTCATACAAATAGAACAATTAGTTCACACCGCAAATGCTTTATTTTTAACAGATCAGGTATGATTGTATCTCCGGCAAAGGTAATGTCTTAGCAACACTGTTCTTAGATTAACTGTGGTGGTGATGCTACTTTGTGCTGCGCTAAACCAAAAGACCACAAGGAATTATCGCAGTCTGGCACATTGCTGTGTGGCGGAGCAGCTTACATTTGTCAACATTTCTACGACAGCGCCCCCAGTGGTTGTTATGGGACAATGACGTATATTACTAGAGCAGTCGCCACAATTTTAGAATGTGTACCGAAGCAAGGCGAATTGGATTGCTCGATTAGTTAAACCTTTGCCAATTTGATGTAGCTGTAATTACAGTTTTTGTTTTCCCCTTAGTTAATTAAATCCATCCAATATATTTTTAAATGTACAATAATTGTAGCATTTTTAATTGGTGACCTTTAGGCAGAAGATATTTAGTCGTGACTACTGTCTAAAGCTAGTTTAATTCTGCATTGTTTTGAGCAAAATTTCATCACTATAACGGCAAAAAGTACTCTGCGTCACGGTCAACTTGACATTCTAATAAATATGAAACCATCCTATGAAATCTAAAATTTAGCGTATGTTGTAAGTTTGAACCTTTCTGATAAGTATTCAAATAGGTACTTATAAAAATGTTTATTTTGCAAATAATTGCTCGTCTTGTCCAACTTAACAGAAACACAAAACTTCCTGTGTTCGTGAACACGTGACAAATTTAAAAAACCTCAATTTTTTGTAATGTTTTTTTTGTTTTTGTTTTTTGACAAGAATATAACTTCGGAAAATTTACGGGAAAATTTGATTTTTGTGTGAAATTTCTTTTTGCAATTCTAAACATCCCAAAAATCAACGATTGTTGCGACCATGGTTGCCATGGATTTTAAGCAACGCTTTAATCTTAATGTTTTTCTGAAACTACTTTCGTTCCTAAAAAGGATGAAGAAAATGCGATTTTCCTCTCTAGTGAGGAAAGTAAAAAACAATTGCTGCGTTAATCTTAATAATGACATTTAAAATTGAAACATATCCGAATCTAGATTGCTATATATGTCACTTCATTATTGCATACGATAATTTTTCAATGTTGATTGTAGTTTCAGAAAAAATTATGTGTAAAACTTGAGAAGAAAGTATTTTTCAAGTTCAACTCTCGTTCAATTGGAATTGACACATGAGCGTAGCGAAACTTTGAACTCTAGTTGAAAAACTTCACTTTTTCCTCTCATCATTGAATGCCTCCAATATTTACTGGTGTAATGAAAATTTTTGTACTTAATGAGAACGAGAAATTGCTCATATTAAGAATTATAGGTTAAGTACATTTCCTAACAATTTGAAATAATTTAATTAAAATATGCCACAATAATAATCTCAAACATGTCGTCTCAGGTAAATTTGCGTAATTGTTATTAGTTTTATGAATTTAATATTATTTGTAATTAGGCCATCAAATCCTTAGCGCTTTATAAGAGGGTGACCGAAATAGATAGAGGTCTGGGTCCGCGTCTTCCGGAGGCTTACAAAAAGTTTTATAAGGAATGGAAGCTTACTGAACCGGCCGCAGTTCATAGTATACCGGAGGAAGGCAAGTGGAGGCGTGACGAAGTCACAGGACAAGTGTATGAAAGATATGTGTACTTTGCGGTTTAAACTGATTTAATTTACAGTTTTCCCATCCAGAATCATCCGATACCTGTGAGATATCCAGCTGAATATAATAATCAAATTTGGGGCGGTGAAGGAGTTGTACAAGGATTTGAAAAGCGACACAAGTATAATCGCAGAGTGCCACATTTTTGGGTTCCAGCACTTAAGCGTTCCGCTGTTTATAGTGAAGTGTTAAATAAACATGTCTCGGTTATTATTACAGAACGAGCCGTTCAGCAGATTCATGAAAATTATGGATTTGACCATTACCTACTTAAAGTACTCGCGTTTTGCCAATGGCCAATTTTAATATGCTCATTTTGTAGACGTTGGCTTGTGATTTGAAATCCTTATTGGCACTTTCACTGAAACGAAAAATTCTCCAAGAACTATCACAAGGCTGTCCAGCATATGCAAATAATCCCGAAAAGCAGCAGATGATTTTGAATCGTTACAAAAAATACTTAGAAGCTGTGAGTTTTTGTTATTAACGACAATTTTGTAATGCAATCTCGTAGTATACACCCGAAGAAATCAACTGGTATGGTTATTCGTTTGAGGATGCCTGTACTAAGTACAAAAATTTAATAGAGACCCAAAACCCTGTTGTACCATTGAAAGTTGTATATCGAGCCGAATTAATTGAAAAGTTAAAGACTGCAGCTGAAAGTGCAATTCAGGAAGACAAGGATATTTCGTAAGTTTCTGTTATAACACAAGCGCCAGTAGTAATGTTTTGGTATTTTAGGGGTGCAGCATCCTGGATTCAAAAGATTAATCCATTCAGTAAAAAACATGAGACATAAGCGTAATATACATTGTAGATTGTTTTATTTGTTGCTATTTTTGGTGACATTAATTAAATATTCAACTGTAGGTGTTCTCTTACTTCTTGTTTTATGTTACTGTAATCCCTGACTAACACCAGTGGTATACTGCTGCGAAATAAAATTACTATCTGATTAGGAGAATACAAATTCACTACTAAACTTGGATTTATACTCAGTAGCCGGCTAACATTCAACGTGAGGGTCGTAAAGTTCGGTATTTGCTACTACAAAACTCAAATCTTAAGGGCGCCAGATCTAGCGAGGTAATAAATCCTCTTGATCAAGGAGGATAGGCTCTTCCAAGCATAGCATAATGAAGGTGTAAAAAAAACTAGGTATTGTGGCAGAGAGGAATTTAATACGTCTGTATTTCGATTTAAAATTAAATATGATTACCTAGTATGTAACTACAAATTATAATTGTGGTGTGAAGCACGGTAACAATAATAAAGGAAAAAACTAATAGGATTAATTCGTCCACACCGCAAAAATCAACAGTGTCAACAATATCTTACTACGGTAATTAATACGGGTTCTGGATTCGCTAGCTAGCCCCGCACCCTGTTTATATTTGGGCCAAATAGAGGTTAGTACAAATAGACCTCCCAAACTGAGAACAAAACGAATTTTCCTTCACAGGTAAGTATTATCATGAATGTAATTATCTGTAATTAAATGGTAAGAATTAACTCTTTTGATTTCAGTTTACATAGCCCTTGAAGAGGGTTCATCAACTCAAAGCCACAAAAATTGTAAGTATGTAAATACAGGTTAATTATGATTAATTAATTTTTATTCTCCCACTTTATTTCAGAACAAACGCAGATGCAGCAAGGTAAGGTACCAGTAAGTGCCAGATTTCAGGCAGCGGAACAAAAAAAGCTAGATGTTATAGCGTGCAACTCGTCCGCAATGTTCTCAAACTTATGACTACCATCCTAATATTCTAATTCGACGTTGTTTCCTAACTATATACACTAATCAAATTCCCAATTGGTATTCTCTTCAGGCCGCTTCAAATCTGATAAAACAAACTACTTATACTGATTCCCAACTATACCATCAATTCGATCAGCCAACCAGTATCAGATACAGGAGCTAGGAGATAAATCCTGATAAACAGTGAATTCCAATAATTATAATTCTCTATCTCCCTAGCCGCACGAAAAGCTAACCCAATCTACCCTACCTCGAAAAATATACGTTTTTCCCGAGGTTTTTCCCAAAATTGATATCCCAAGAATTTCCAAGTGGGAAATGACCTTATGATAACTAAATTGTTAAATCTAGTGTTAAATTTGCCTAAAACTATGCAAAATATCATACAGCTCTAACCTGAACTACCCTAACTATCTACTACCTACCCTACACACTATTTCCAATTGCTACAATACACTGTGCTGTGCAGTCTTCCAATTGGGCTTTCTGTTCCTTAACAATGTTCTGAGGGACCGTTTTGAAGAAATGAACACTTTACAGATATAGGTGTACGCCCCGAAACCACTGAAAGTGCTCAAATTCACTGTCTTGATATAAAGGGAGTAGTAGATATATTTGAGAATATTTGGTATATTGCAACAATTGGGAAAACCAATACGCAAAATTAAAAAAGATTTACTAATTCTTGAAATTTACCTGTTTTAGGGTTTATATCAAGGCCGCGACGAAGAAACGCCGAAGTAAACACGACAATTCGCGACGCCGTGCGGTGCGGCCTATCCTTAGAGAAGGAAAGACACAAGAAATCCCACCGGAGAAGTTGCACTTCAACGTTGCCATTTTAGAAAGTGTATATTTGGTTGCCTAAAGGCAGTAAGCTTGCGATTGTCTCTCAATACTTTTGTCGGTGACCTTGATTTTACACTACGAAATTTGGCAAAAAAGTTAGGGGCGGTTCATTGAAATAAAAGACTTATGGACCCGCTATTATAACTTAATTATGTGTGTTGTCAGCTAACGGAGTTGTTAGGCATTTGTTTGGATGTTTTTGCAAAGAATATAACATCAGTCTTTGCAAAAACGTCCAAAACAACACCTACACGGTGTTGACAACATAGTTTATTAACGGCTACATGTCGCAATTTGTTATTATTTAGGTTTTGCATAAAATACTGATATTGAAGCATGGCGTACTTCTTCAAGTTTTTGTTTATGTACCGTTATCTGAAACATACTGCTTATTCTTTGCAGGTAATTATGCCTTTATGCCGGTTTTATTAAGAAGTACTATAGTATAACAAGTAGATGTCGCCCTTCCAAACCGCATCCGTTTTAACAGGAGCGGTAAAAACGCATAGTGTGACACCACACAGTACGATACAAGTTTATGATCAGAGTGTTGTTGCTCTGTACGTTTTGATTTAACTATTTTTTGGAGGGATTTTCCGTTGCACATGTTGCATTTATCTCATGCGCACTGATGCTCTGGAGGGGGGTCTTGTATTTTGATGTTTCTCTGCATGAGCCGTTTGACTATTTCAGCGAAGGAAGTACCTAATTCAGTCCGATTATTCGCTGTATCTGTTGCTCTCTTTCTCGTGCCCGATACCGCGCTGCGCGGTAAGTCAGCAACACTAACACAAGTGGCGTACTTCAAGTGTTTGTTTATGTTTCGTTATCCGAGTCATATTTGTTTGTTATTTTGTGCAGGTGATTATGCCTTTACTTATACTGTTTTGTTAAGTACTTATTTATGTATTCACGATACAAGTTTATTATCAGTGTGTTGTTCCTGTGCACGTTTAGGTTTAACTATCCTTTGGAGGGATTCTTCACTGCATATGTTGGTCCTTCATCACGTGCGGATTGATGTTTTGAAGGGCGGGGGGGGGGTGTGTCCTGTAATCTTTTGACTAGTTTCGCGAAGGAAGTACATACAGTCGGTGAGTAACTAATACGAGAAGGGGGTCCTCTAATTAACATTTCTTCTATTTAGTTTTGCCTTTGGCGATAATAGACTCTAATGTGAATACTACCTATTGGCATTCTCGCGTGCACTTTTGGTACAAAATTAATTGAAGTCGATGCTGGAGTAGAGCGATGATTTTGACGCGTTCTTTTTTGTGTCTGCGATGACCATTTTACGCGTTGTTTTGCGTAAATCGATCGTAGATATGTTTAATGCGTTTTTGTACTAAATTAATTTATCGTATTTACTACTTGGATTTGACTTGACTACCATGATTTGATTTATCGTGTCTTCCACTTACATCTACAGTTTAAGTAAGTGCTCCATTTCTCCATTTCTAAATTTTCATATATACCGGTAAGATTGTAGTATACCTAAATTGATGCAATTTATATTTATCTCTTTTTTTTTCTTGTTATATTCTATACTTCTTTTATAATGTAATTTTCTTCTTTTTCGCCGATCGGAATTCAAATAGCAAGGTTAAGTATAAGAACAGATGGCATTATTTTATGCTAATCTGAACTTCGCCTTGTACTAACTTTATTTTTTTTTAATAAAGGCAATATTATCATTATTATTACTATTATTATTATTATGTTTTTTGTATTTGATTTTCTCGATTTGTTTAACTGCGTTTGATTCGATACCTGATTTTTATTGTACGATTTGAGATTTTTGATTTGTATATTTCTTTTGCATCTCTTTGTTGTCGCAGTTATTCCTTGTATATGTGACTGTGTGTTGTATGCTATGTTTTTTGTCCAACAAAAATGCTTTTTTTCTGTCCTTTTTTGTGCATGCATAATATATTTTATTTGTTCTTGTCTTTTCTTACGCACGCAATTCTGCATTTTATACTATACTCTTTCCGATTATGTTTCACGTCCAAACACAAAAAAGATCCGTCTAGCTAGCATACACAACGTAGGACCTGTTCGTGCCACCCAGTCGTAGCCGACTGCTACCGAGATTCGGAGGTGTCGAGAAACATATCCGTCGTTTCGACGTGAAAATCTGCTTAGGTATATTATTTTTCCCCACAGTTGCCAATTGTACGTAAGTATAGGGTAAGTCACGATCGCAGTGCCGGCTTGGGGGACCCCTAAGATCATTACATATATTCTAAAAATATACAACGTTTACGAACAAATTAACACAAAAGGGGTAGGTACTTACAGACAATTAAACGGAACCGCATACCGAAAAATTGTTGTGATTATATTAGGTTAAAAGAATCAAAGGCCGTGTATAATTAGATGTCGGATAGATCCTTAAAATATGGGCGGCTCAGAAAATGCCGTTTGGGATTGCGAATGCACCGGCGATGCAACAGATTTTAACGGAGAACATTTCTGGTACTTTATTGGGTGAGAATTTGTTTGCGTATCTAGACGACATAATTTTAGTATCAAATACGTTTGAAGAGCACATGACTATGCTTATTAAAAAGTTGAAGCCATATCTCTTTATAGTAAACCAAAAAACGATACGGAGATCAAACGATTTGTAGGAAAGTAAAAAACAGACCCCGATAGAAATTAAATCGGAAAATGCTTACTAATGTTAAAGAAAATCCTAGAATTTTCTAGTTTGGAAAATAGCGGATCACCCTTTGTACGTGCCAATCAAACATAATATTACCTCGAATTTAATTGAATGGCGAATACCACAAACTTTGCGAATGATACTGGCCCAAGATGAAAGCCGAAACTAAACAGTATGTTAGGAAGTGTGATGTTTGTGCAGCGAGTAAATCCTCTAATCAATTACGACCGGTCTTATGGGTAGAGAAAAAAGGTAGATTTTCTATTGCGTTTCGATTACTGTTTACCGAGTTATTGGCACTGTAATTCGCTCTTATATGTAAAAGAAAATCATATTGATTGGGATGAAATCTTTTCTAAAGTTTGACTGGGGAAATTAAAAGGCTTAATTGAGGAAGAGGTCTCTATAGAATGCGCTGATCTTAAGAATATCAATAAATTATTCTCGTTACGTAGGGAAATTGTAGATAAATTTCCTATTGCATATTTGTGGGCGATTTTGAAAAACTGTTTTATAATAAAGCAAAGAATAGCCGCAAATAGGAAACACGAGAAGAAAGTGCAGTGCACGATGGTGGCCAAAAGTTTAATGTAATGTAAATCTCTCATTCCCTCATCTCAGAAATGTGGAAAAGGTCAAAATCTACCTTGGATTGAGAGCAACGTCAGAAGAAAGGTTGATAAAGCACTGCCGCTTTAGTTTCATATTAATCACATTACTAAAGTAAATAGTTGGGACTTTAACTTCCTTTTTGAATTCATAACTGCGATGACATTTCGAATTTAGTAAAGTAGCAGATTCACTATAAAAAATTACACATTTGTAATTTGAAAAAAAAACGCTTATAGTTTAGTATTTTATTACAAACAAATTTTATTATCATTTATATCTCTAAATAATTCAAGTAATAGGCGCCATAGCTAACAGTAATAATTATACAAATAATTACAAAACTTATTAGGATTCAAACTCCTGTACGGTATAATTTTACACATTTTAATTTACATATGTACATTATAAACACCAGGCGAGATAAAAATACGTCGATTCAATAAATTCTATTTACCTATATACACATTAATTATATTTATACGTATTTATACAGAGTTCGATTAACCTATCAACAAAAATGAAATAAAAATAAAAGCCGATTTTACCGACAAATGTGCTCATCCGAACCTGAACACACCGAATGAGAGGGCGCAATAAAAAGTTTTCCATTGCGGCAAACGCACAGCTGAAAGATTTCATCAGATTTGGTTTGCACGGATCTTGGGGACGATGTGGCGTGAGGTAATTGAGGCATTAGAATGGAACTGGACTCAAGTTTAACTTGCCCTGCGACAGACTTTAATTTGATGTCATTAAGTGACATTAATTTAATGTCTCCGGATCTTGATTCTACATTGATTCCCATTGGAGCGCGAATTTCTAACGATCTTGTCGGCGATTCTAATCTGTAACAGAAGAATGGCGTTAAAGCGACAATTAACTCTTAGAATAAATATTACTTGATGGGGTAAATGGGGATGAATTTACAAGTTACACTAAATAATCTCATCTTTTCCCCGCAACGTTATATTTTTATTCATTGGTTCGCTCGTCGTATTCAAGAACAATGCGCTCGGGATTAAACTTTCACATTTTTCATTTCAGTTAACATTCTTGCTTTGTACAGAATTTAAATTAACGAGTATAAGAAAGTGTTGTGAGTGCAAAGCCATTCTTCTCTTGAAATATTGACGCGCTTTCGTTTGATGTAAGAAGTTCGTGTTTACTGCACACAAATTCTCGAATATTAATTGGAATTCAATTACGCATATAACGTAACAATGGATACAAAACACTGTTTCTTGCTACAATAAATAATTAGTCTGCTTTATATGCAATATGCACCTGTTGTTCATATACATAATTTCATGGTTTCCCCGTACGAGTTTGTAGCGTCAGACTAAACGAAAAGTCTGATGCACTTTTGGTTCCATTGGATAAATTTATCTTATTTACAACTTCAATAATTAGTTACAGTGGGTAAGCAATCAGCCATATTCAATTGCCCTAGAATACACGAACTTGGATCAACTCACATTAATGATTGCATCAAAAACTATAAGAGCGTATTTCATGAACAACACATCAATTACGTTTAATTCAAAGCGCGTTGTTCGGTTTAGTAAATCATGTAGTAACACTCCACGTAGGGTAGATCAAGAACTTAAGGATACGGCGGAGCTATATCTCAATACACACGAAATAATCTTATACCCCAATGACTTCGCTAATTATCCATCAGTGAATCAGGACATGTTGTATGATATTCGGAAAATAATTATTTCCGTTATCAAATTTAAATTACCCCCATTCGTAAAGGTATGTTTCAGTTCAACGATTTACCTGTATTTATTGGCGAATAAAATATCGTCATATATTGGATAATTATGTTAGATGACGCATGAAGTGGGTACTAAAAAGAAAATATGTATGCGCTAGTCAGCTATTTAGAGATGTGCTACATGTTACAAAATGGGAAAGTGAAATCTACAGCCCTTTTCTTTTATTTTGGTACGTCCTCTGCCTTTCACGTTGAAAAGTTGTTACAACCAACAATAATAAAGATAAACACATCAGGGGTCTTACGTATCTGAATACTATTAGTTGTACTCATTTCGTATAAAATGGCATTGTATTTATTCACAATAGGGCAACGGTGTACGGAAATATGAAACGTAAATATTTGCCTGTTCGCATTATAATATTATACAATGGTTACCGCTCTGAACACCTTGGCGAGTGTTCAGTCAAAAACAGTTGACAATTTGACAATGCGTAAACGGTTTTTAAAAAATTGATTCTGTACTCCATGTAACGTTAACGCTAACGAGGCACAGTAGATGTTTTTGTTTATAAATAACAATGAATTGGTCTCCAATTTCTAATTTCATTCGCCATACAAGGTTGCGTGAAATGTAGCAAATGGATCTACATATTTAAAGTCAGTTGAGTGAGTGGTCCAATCAAAGGTTGGACACAGTATTGCTATTTTCCTTAGTTTTAATTCTTCACTTAAACTTGATTATGTCATATAATAAGCTATATCCAAAAAGTGGTTTAATAATATGTAATGAAAATTAGTAGATGCCCTTCCCCCTTGACCATGCAGAAGTACACCACTGACTACTAAATAATATGTTTAGAAAATAATCCTCCTTTATTCGATACTCCAGAAGTAGCAGTTTTGATATTATTTTAGCTTATATACAGATTCTGCTGTGTAAGCTATAAGTTAAGAAAAATTGCGTTATTATTACAGTTGCTTATTCCAAATATTCCGTTAATTTTTTTCGACAATCGCTTTTTTGCGTATTCTGTAGGCTAAAACGTACTGATTTGTATGTACTTAGTAGTGAAATAAACTAATTTCGAAATAAGGACATTTGTGTGCTAGGTATGGAAATGTAGCAAATCATCACGGAGACACGATGTTTTCGTATGAGTTTGTAGGATCAGAATATGAACTGCTAATTCTACTAATTTTGAGACGGATGTGCTATGATCAACCTAAGCATTTCTAGGTAGTAGCATTCAAACTGATTTTAAAATAAAATTTTCTGTGCACGATATAGATATTAAATCCGGTGTTTACTCATATGAGTTAGTAACATCAGAGTACGTATGAACTGTTTGTCAATTTTTTGAACGAAAATATTTACACTTACATTTTATTTGATGACAGGCTAGCAAATTAAACTCTTCTTTGCTAAAAGTCCCGACAGCACCCGGCTGTAAAGTGTATTTGCGTTTTTACACCCCATTTTGATTAATTTCAGAAAAATGCAATTCGTTTAGCGCCGCACAATGTGATTACTTCAGAAAAAGTACACAACCCGCACTTATTCATCTTTTCGCAGCTAAAGTGGAATACGCAATCTGCACGTGTTGTGGTTGGATCGTTTAGAATAGTCGTGTATAGATCATTAGAGAGCATTATATGGCATTTGTATTTCCTCTACAATTTCAATTTATTCTCGCGTTCAGACATAACGTAATTGGCACATAAATCGTAAGGGATACGAGGTCAAAGCGTAAATAGATTGCCTTATTGTAACAACACATTTTACATTTTGATGGTATTTAAAAAGCGCTACAAATTGAATCTTCGAGTGCAAAATTTATGGAGAGTAACAGAGTGTCAGTCGTAAACTTTTCGTTCCTTGTATTTTTATAATAAAGAAAGTGTGCAGAAGTAGTTGAATTTGCATTTTGACGATGTTGATGTCGTATATCTTATAGAAACAAAGCACATCTGTTGCAGATCGAGCTTTGCAAACGAGTAACTTTGACAGAAGGAATGCACTAAGCCATAAAACCGGCGTAACAGACCCGGAACGATTTAATAGAAGAAACATATTGTAAAAACTGGTGCTTGTACACGCCAGATTCCCGTAAAACTTGCTAAGAAATTAATATGCAAGAAGAGTTAGGTGGCAGATGGTGTCTTAATTGTTGGTTATATTACCGTTGAGATATCGTAAAACTTATACAAACCTTAAATCGTGGCCGGACTCGGCACGCACTAGCGGAGTTTGAACGGAGCCGTGGAAAACCGTACCCCCTTCGCCCGTTATTCGTAGCACATCCACCCCCAAGATTACTTCCTTGTGGTCCGCTGAGAACAGTACACTTCCCTTTGTGTTTATTACTTTAAAGTTATCTGTTAGGCACTCGAAACGATCATTTCCTGAAAAATAAAACATTACTTTTTAGTATCTTTTATCTACTGAGGAGGATTTTTAATAAAATTGTTCGTATTAGTGATAGCGCATGCCAAGTTTTGCAATATAGGTATTCGGAGCTCGTTTGAATTTTATTACTTTAGTTATAAAATTCTAATCTCGTCTTTACAGTTGTTGTAGGATTCTTAAAATTAAACACAACGCAATTTGTATTCGAAATATTAAGAGATCTACTACCTACATACGCTTAAAGTGGTATGTGCATTTGGTGTTGTATGCAATCTATTGCTAGTTTGAAACGAGGTCAACCTCAAAACTATTTCATTGATTTTTGGAATAGATATATAAGACCCAGGATTAGGGATATTTCCATTTAAGGGCGGCTAACTAATAACTGAAGCACCACAGTGGATCATGGTCCCTTATACAAGATAACCGTTTAATAAAAGAGAAACTCTGTTACGTTTCTCGTTAGAATTAATAGTATTTTACATTATTAGCCAGGTAAGTGAGTTTTTACTGGCGATAGGAGAAGTTGACTAGCGAGCCGTTAGGCGAGCCTGCTGTCATCTCCTAGAGCCAGTAAAAACTATTACCTGGCGTATAATGTACAATATTTTATTTGTTACTCATTTGTAAACGTAAATAATTAGTTCTTAAATTGATCTTGAAAAAATGTCTAAAATATCATGTGATCCATGTAACAGAGACTTCGCATTAATTCTGGCCAATGAAATTACTAGATTACTAACTTGTAAAATTTTTACAGGTCTGCTGTCAGTTTTACAAGTCTGCTGTCAGTTTTACAAGTCAGTAGCGTTTAAACATGACGTTTACCCGTTTGCGTTTTGTCTTGTTAATCAACGTTTACAACTGAGTAACAAATAAAAATAATAACAAGCGATTTCATATTAAGAGAGTTGATTTGAGTATGTTCTATGTTTTTCATGACTTCCTATTTATGTACTGTATTTGTTTTGCGCAGTGGCGATATTGTAACCGATGAGGTTGTCTCTGTAAAAGAACTCGTTTGTAAATATTGAGCAAGTGATTTGTGATATTTACAATTTTACCCCGGACCATGCTTTTAAAAACAGTCCTTTCAAGGATAATGTTTAACATAGTATTGGTACCTAGCAGTAACAGCATTATCTCCCATAAAGGACTAACCGGGGAGAATACATCCCCGCGGTAACTCCGGCAATCTGAGTTCGCCATCCTCGTCTCTTGAGCAAAGGCTAACGACATAAGTCTCTGAACCCGAGCAAAGAAACCACGCTAGTAAGGTTGGGCACGAGAACACCCAGCCTCCTCGGACGCTCAGCTGAGAAGGACTTCTTAGCCCGCCTCCCGGGCAGTGAGTGAAACAAGTCCCAGTCCTAGATCCGTAGACGCCCAGCGTACAGAAAAAGTAGTACGAGATTAGAAATACACTACCAACTCCGACAAACGAATACGACGACGTTTTTACGCCCCGAGTGAGTGTAGGCCGAACTCCACTCAAGGAGGCCGATGAGAAAAGCAGCAGCTCAGCGTAGAAGTCTTTCAACCTCCACGCATCTGGAAAAGACGATCTTCGCGAAAGAGCACTCGACATTAAAGGGACCGAGACAGGGGGCCGAGTTGCAAGACCACGAGTCCTTTACACTGCACCCGGACCAGTATGCCACTAGGGAACTTGGGGCCCTTAACCCAAGACTAATAATGACAGGAGCGGACGATATGCTAAAAGAGAGCCTGGTCACGCAAAAAGAGGAAGTGTTTCAGGATGGAGCTAAGAGTGACCGGGTGAAATTAGTAGGAAAAAGGCGGCGCCGAAACCCCCAGCGGGAAAACTGGATCAACGAGGTTAATCCGAAAGACTTTAAGGCAATACAGAAAACCGGGTACGTAAATCTTGACCTCATCAGAATATGGGTAAAGGAGGACATTCATGTTAAGCGCTGCTACAGATGCAATAACTTCGGGCACGTAACGACAAACTGCCAGGAGAAAGAAGAAATGTCCACGATATGTGCTGAAAGGCAGACTGGAGAGCTGTACCTCCGAGACCCTGGTATGGATCAACTGCAAACGACTGGGGGCCAAAGATACGGCGCATACTGCTATGGACGGCTGCTGTCCAGCATAGCAAAAACGGGCTCACCCCTCCATCAACAAGGTAGACTATGGCAGATCGCCTTAATTATAGACTACGCTCAGGTACCTATCACACCCCCTCAGCACAACAAATGAATGTCGTTACAGGTAAACACTGGCAAAGGCAGCGCGGCTACTGAGGTGCTCTTTAAAACACCAAATGGCGCACAATTCTATTAATCTAAGAGCCGGGGCATAACATAAAGCACGGCAGCTACGCGGTGCTGGGGGGATCAATAAATCAAAAGTACCTATTGTCATAAAGGAAAACACTGATCTTTACACAATAAGAATGTACGATAGTGGAAGTCAAAAACCAAGAGGGCGGCGGAATACCCATAAATCTTTATATCGGGTCAATGCGAAACTGTAAACTGTAAAGAAATGAACCTCTTAATGACGAAATTGACAATACACGAGGGCCAAGTGGTCACAGCCGCCGACATAAACGCAAAACACCCTTGTCTAACCAAAGGCGCGACAACCTCTCCGACCTACTAAACACAGTAGGCGCAGTAATTTAGAATGACCCATACTTTACTCCCACCTTCGAAACGGTTAATGGTAGACCCTGGGTGGACATAACCGCCAGTATAGGCGTATCAGGAATTAATGGTGTATCCTGGAAGAAGAGTCGCTAAGCGACCATAAGATTATAGAAGCGGGAGCGATATACAAACTTATTAATATAAAACACAGAAAGACCACAGCACAATAGGCTACAATTTGGGACCCCGTCCACCATAAATGGACGGAGTCAAACAGTGAAACAATCGGTACCCTACCTAAGTCTGGTTCCGAAACCCAACCACAACGGGGTCCATCCGATTAGTTTACTCCCGATCCGACTAAGCTATTAGCCTTCTCTTCGACGAAAGTTGGTATCTGGCGTTTTTTGAACATGAAAATCACGAATATGAAATCAATTTTCGAAAATTCGGAAAAAAAGTTTCACTGCAATATTTACCGGACAACTAAAATGGAGAGAAAGTCACGAAATGTGCTGTGTACATACTTTACGAGTTAGGGAACAAAATTGACGAACAGTTTTTAAACCACGTTTCAAGCAAAAGTTACACTCATTTGAAAATTGGCCCTTCGGGTCAGAAAGTGTCTCCCGCCTACTAGTGAGTCATGTAATTAGGCATGCATTTAGTTGAAAACATCGAAAATAACAAAAAATTGACGATTCGCATCCGTTTTCATTAGTTATCGCCGGTGACTAATCTCTTATCGATTTCATGGCGCCTGCTGGCGCTCGGATGCCTGGAATATTCGCTACCGTATTTTCTACATTACGAATCAAGGAAGGAAAAGCTCAAATTGAAAAAGCCAAACGAGGTACTTAAAAGCCTGTATTTCGAGCAGTTTAAACTTCGAATCTATAATAATAATAATAAGTGACATTTATTAGATTACTGGAAGTACAGAAGGAAATAAACATAAAATAAACATTGAAATAGATAATAAACTAAATAATTAAAATTAAATGAAAAATGAAATTAATGTTCTGTAATCTAACGGGGCGAAGTTCAGTTCTATGGTGAGACACCCTAGAACTGCTCTACCACTTATTAGTCAATATTGAAGAGATACTAGAAAAATCTTAGGTACTTACCTAAAAATATCCGATTATCCATTGCACCTGCAACGTTCCTCGTTGTTATGGTAAAGTTTTTACTAGATTCGATTACAATAGGTTGGCCAGCGCGTGAACGAATTGTGCTAGCTATTAACGCATCTAAAACGAACGCTCGTCCTTCCAAACGTAAACCACCAGCAACTATCCTGAGTTGACCCATACCTTGCTGAAATTAGAATAATAAAGTTAATAACAGAACAGTACATTATACAGTATCATAAGTACATACTTTAATTGCATTATGGCTAAAGCAAGCATCTCGTTTTTATTTAGGTACTAAACTGTGTCGTGAAATATTGAAATGGGGAAATCATATGCAACGATTAGCATCCACCGGCGTTACGCAAAAGCCACAAAGACTGTGTCAAAAACAAGGCACGAAGTGGAAGTCGCATTGAAAAATGTACTATGTTTGAAAATGTGAGCTGTTTTACGGAAGCCTTAAGCGAGATTAATGTTCTAGGTAGTTGGTTTTGCTATGTAGTCATAAGTTTCTAATAAGAAACTTTTATTCTTCTTGTTAGTTTCCCTACGTGTCGTTGAAGCGCCAAAGTAGTTTTCTACGTGTTCGGTGTTTTTTGCATTTTAGTTTCGATGAATTAGGGAATAATATAGTCTAGAATTAGCAACTGGAATTAGCAGTAAATCTTTTACTGCGAAAATATCTTCTAGTAGTGATGCTGTTCACATGCCAAAAATCTTGACTGCTACGCCTGCACTAAAACTTCGAGAAATGGCAACCGTAGCGAGCAGCGCCTTTTATCGCGTTTTTATCCCAAATAAAAAATAACGTTTGAAAAACGGCGAAAAGAACACAATGTACCTACATTTGATTAAAGCATAATTATTAAATTATGTTTGAGATTTCATTGCTTACTGTCAATTTTAATCTTTCATCTATGTTTAGGTAATCTAATTCTGGTTATTCAAGGAGTACAAACATTTTTATTTGACGAAAGGTAGGTAACCTTTTGAAGTAAATATGAAATCAATCTAAATGAACATGTTATAATCTTTCACAAGGGTTCTCTCCAAAATGTTGTTAATTTTATTTCAGGCTCCGCGTCCCATTTTAATAAGAATGCCAAAAATTTGAATGCACGATGATTTGTTTTACTTTATCTACTCTTACTGTTAAAGTGATCACTGTATCTACCCTTACCTGTCAAAAAGATACCTAGCCTACTCATCCAAACCGATTAAAATGGCGATAAACATTTAGTGGTGACTACAAGAAAGATGTGTAATGCGAGCCCCGCCTTGCAGCTTAAATTTTTTTTCCAATTTCACATATGAATAAAACTGCATTTATACTGTTTTTGTATCTAAATCAGTGGGTTGTTACCGTGGCAGCGGACTCCACTAATCGTGTAATCGAGGCGATAATGCGAATGTGGTTTCGAGATGGAGCATGGGAGAAGTTTATGCCCGTGAAACGTATTTATTACGGTATACGCGAAATATTCGTAGTACGTTAAAATTATCGATAACGAATTCCGATGGAAAAAACAATTTAATCACGTGATTCCATAGCAACGACATAACAAACGAAAATTAAAGTGTGCGTTCTATCGACGCTTCGATTTTAAGTAAAGTGGACTTGTGGTACGCTTTCTGAATCACCGTGAAGTTATTTACAAACATTAGAATTGGGGGTACGAACACATACATTCAGATCTGTTTTGAACTTCCCGTTCTAATTGTCAATACTGTCTGGAGTCATATCATCTGAAGGGGCTACAATTATCAAGAATGCCGACCTGGCCCTGGCCCCTTTACGTTACACAGGAATGTCTGGTTATTTACGGTAAAAGGACCGTAAATCTAGACAGCTAGGCTTTAAGAATTCAAAATAGAAATCTGCTACCAGTCGGTTCAGCCGTTTATCCGGAAATGAGAGTACAGACAGACAGACAGACAGACAATTACGCACTTTTATTCAACATAAGATAAGGAGACTTGAAACAAGTAGTGCAATATAGGGATATGTAAATCAGACGGTGATACATAACACATCAGTGTGCAACTGTGCCTCGTTTGTTATGTAATACTTGGTGATTAGAGGACGTTGCCCAGTTGTAGAGATAACTTCATAACACGCCGCATGGATCATGAAGTAACTAGTTCACATAGTTACAGATAGGATGCCGTGCAAAGTTAGAATATTGAGGACTTTGACAGATTTCCATTATAACACCCTTAATCTTTACCTAGATTATTCCGCCTTCCATACAATCGTTTTTAAATTACCTAGAATGATGAAATTTCCATTTACTAAATCCGATTCAAGTTGTAAATCTCAATTTGCCTTGGTTTCGCTTGTAATACGCTTCACAGAGTTTGCTTTATTCCTTTATACGTAATCGCCGTAAAAAATATATCTTATTCGGTTTATCGTCCTCCACCCATCCAGCATAGGTACCTTACACACGAATGTCTATTACTTTTTCTTCCACATCTTATTTATTTCTACTTAGTTGAAATGCAATCGTAAGGATTGGAAGATGGAGAGGCAGAGAATAAGAACTTCAATCGTAATGACCACTAATTATTTCCTAATGCGTTAGATCCAAGGAAAACCAATAAGATCATAGAGTCAGTGTTGTAAATTAGAATTACTCAAACCACAAGTGCGAGGATGGTACATCAAGAAATACGATCTGCATGTTATTGTAAATGACAGCATACCCTAGCGGACTGAAATTTCATTCAAAACAGAAAGTGGAGTTTTCTAATTGTTCCCGTGGAGATATTTTAATTGTTTTTGGTAGGGTTCGAAAAGTCGGCACAGTTCCTCAGCTGGCTGCCAAAAACGGCGATGATACCTTTTGTATTTTGGTAACCATGCTGATGCTTATTAACGATCAATTTTATCACTTTTATTTGTTCAATAAATATTCCAGGTGCAAAAAATCGTTTTTCGTAACAGCAAAACATTTTTCTTCAAAACGGCACAAAATCTTAACCCACGAGTTTCTGAGAAGGGAAACCCATCAAGACCTTGATAATTATTGAAAGTTACATGGAAATTTTAGCACAACCAAAAGTGCCATTTAAACAAAGACGAATGAAAGGACATGGCGTCCCTTTCACCACGCTCCTCAGAAACAAAGTAATGTGCGCTTTATACGTTCGCATCTAATGAGAACGGATTGAAAATTTTCTTTGACAAAAGAAAAATTTAATAAAATAAAAATTATTTCAAAAGTACCAAGGGAATTGTTAACTGTGGTATACAATAAAAAAAGGTCCGTAGTAATGATTTGTCACGGACGCTTTTGTAAAGTTTCTGGTATAATTATAACCTGCGGCGATTGGGATACGGTATATAAAACCGCTAATGAAAGATCTTTATGAAATTTTATAATTAGAAGTTTTTTAATTGGGATGCAACAGTTGTCTGAATATTCCCTTTAATGGGAAATAAATAATATATTCAAAGCCGATTATAATAGAGATACGTTGCTTGTCTACACAGAAGAAAATCTTTTTCACATTTTACAGATAGCATTAAACAAAAACTTACCGATGAAAATTCCATTACTTTAAGTACCCATAACGTTAAAGCTAAGTTAATTATAACCATAATTAAGAGTCCTAGTATTAGAATATAAAGGCATCGCTTTCTCCAGCCGTAAATTCCGATTTTGAAGTGATATTTTGATTCAGATTGTCTCGAACTATTTGTGTCTTGCGTTCGTTCCACTTCTTGGGGGTTTGACATTATGCCGTCGGATTTTTTCGTTCTGAAACAGAAATGCTTCATTAAAGATCTCTACGGTTCGTATGGCAATCGTGATAGGACAGTTCAATTTACATTTAGGTAAAATAATGCGTTGTACTAAGAACGTTGTTCCCGAAACCGGGCTTTCTTTGGTTATAATTCATATCGATGCAAAGTGTAGGTGGTATATATATATAGGTCCGTGAATATTCATTACGCACGTTACGTTTGAATGGTTAATTCAGAGACGAGAAAGCCTGTTGCGGTTATCTTGTAAAATTACGAATCGGATAATTGCCATTTAAATTATGTTGGCAAAATACCGTATCAATATATTCGAATCTGCCCTTTATTTCCTAAAAATAGTTGGTTGTGGAAGTCTTAACATCAAGTAGGTAGGTATGTACAAAAAACTAGACCAAATGCATCAATGAACTCCGTCCTCCAGATATTCGCATTTGAAGTTTGTCCCCATGTTGCACTTTTTGGAAACGGATTTATTGTACCAGGAAATTGGTGCAAGATTATCCAATAGTTCCTGAAAGTTTTGCTAGATGGTAAGCAGAATTTTGTAATGACGTCGAGTGCCCGTTCGGCATCTTTAAGGTATTGTGGGCGAAAGCCGTCAATCCCTGGACTGGAACCGGCTGGGAAAGAGGTGATCCCCTTCGCAACAATTGCGTCGAATTCGGTGATTGTTTCCCTGTTCCGTGGCTGCTCGCAGAGATCGTGCCTAGGACCGATCAAGTGGGTGCCCATCATGGAGACGTTGTTTCGGATCATGCGCAGGCTGGTATTAACCGAGGCCATCGCGTTTGGGGATGACGAGCTGTTGGTGCTGGCGGGCGCTTCGGGTAAGAAATTGGAAGCGGGGTGGCCGGAGGTGTGGCAGGTGTGTGAAAATCGGGCGAGGACTAACTGCAAAATCAGAGTATTGTGGCTACTTCAAATGTAATGGGGTTCCCAGAACTTACGATTTAAGTGGTAAAACTAAACCAGCATCAAATATTAAGTCGTTAGAAGTTCTTCTACACCTGAAATTGACATTCATAGATCATGTCAAAATGATTAAACACAAAGCGGCTCGACTCTTTCATATTGACGGTGCAGACTGGGGTGCCACACACTCCGCTATTAGGACAATTTACCTTCATGCATTTTGGCCGGCCATATTATAGGTATGGTGCAGAGGGCCGGGTCTGTGACTCGAGAGTTAAAGCGTCTGTTGATTCCGTTCAGATGCCATTTTCATTACGCATGCTGAAGGCATACACATACACCAAGACGGAGTCCCGAAGTCCTTGGTAATGTTTCGCTGCTGTTCCTTGAGACTAAACGAATTTGTGACACGTATGTCGCGGTGTCGTCCAGTAATATTGAGAGAGCGCCTGTGCCCGCCAATAAAGTCCACTAGGCTGAAAAGGACCTATGGGGGTAGATGTAGAGAGGTCGAAAATCTACCTATATGGAGCATAATGCCCAGGCCACATACACAAAACTGAGAAATTGTTGTTGCGGAACTTCCGCTTCACGGTTCGATATGCTACATACATGCTCACCCACAGAGTTTCATCTTAATAAGAGACTCGCAAAGCGCGGTCGCTGCAAACAAATCGCTTACAAAGGACTGTTCAAAGTGGGAGCGGCCATTGTCGCGACTGAAGTTCCACACATCGCGACGTGACGCTCGTCACACCCACTCTGAACTCTCTCTCAAGTTAATGAAATCGAAAGAAACTTTGCAAGCCTGTTCAGGTCGAGATTTACCTTGTCCCTGTTTGGGAAGATAAAGACTTAGGTAGTACGCTGTTAGACACGGCGGCCCATAGGCGGACCGCGACTTACTAAAGTAAGAAATAAAATGATGGCCGCGTGTCAGCGCGCGAATGTATTGCCACAATAAAATTCGGAAAAACGTAACAAGATGCGGTTTAATAAAAACCACAGACTGCTCGGTGAAGGTGATGTAGTACAGATCAAAAGCGCAGAAAATGATCTCAATGGCAATTAATAGTTATTTACCTAACAAGTTCGGTAAGTTAATTTTCCCGCATGAGCACTTTGTTTGCAGCACGACCGTAGGGAGTGCTGCATTTAGTGCGAATGCGGGAAAATTCTTTCCGAAAGAGTTAGGTACAATATTTTTTGTAACGAATTGCGTAAAAAAAGGTCAAAATTAATAAAGTTTTGTAAATTAGTTTTTTTTAATCATGAGTTGGTAACACAATCATATGTTTGGTTGGTAACATAATTTTGTAACTACCATTGCACTGGTCACATTTAAAACTTCCACATCTTTGGTTAATACATATTTTGCCTTTGCAATGAGTGCTACTACTGGTCACGGCATTGCATCGTTTGCACTAAATATCCTTGGAAGTCTTCAATGTTAAGAAATATGCTTTGAAAAGAGTGCTCTTATTGGTCGCGTAAGTGTACTGATCGTATTTAATATTCCCAGAAGACATGTGTGAAGAAATGTGTTCTCAAATTTGATTTATCTTGAGTTGCGTAAATACACTCGTTACATTTAAAATCCTTGGAAGCTTTGTGTGTGTTAATATGTGCTTTCTTAAACTGCATATGCGAATAGTTGCAGAATATCACAGGTCACATTTTAAGACGTTTTAACAATAAATTTTACTTTTTCTTGAGTTCCAATTCTGAAAAATAATTTGATTGCGTTATAAGTTCTTGTTTATATATTTACGTAAAACTTACTGTACGTCTGTTTCCGATTAATCGCACTAAATACCCTCAACCAACGGTTTAATTGATTTTACAGCAGATGACAGTTAACCATGACATGACGTTCGTTGACTTCAATAAGTACTACCAACCGAAGAACGCGCATAACCCCTTCTCTCCAGCGGAAACTAAAAAACACCGCGATGCGGGAAAGTCGTTTTCCCGTGCATCGAGGATGCTTGGAAACATTATCTTTCCATTCAATGAGTACAAAAAAATATTTATTTCACAGATAACCATTTGGCTTGCCTAAATTTACAAAAGACTCAGAATTTACTGGGTTCATAAACACACGTGATCAATTTTTTTAAAACAATTACAAACACTAAATCTAAAATTACACTCTAACCCTCTCCAATACCTAGATTAAATTCACCCCAAACAAATTTAATGTTCATTAAACACAACATACGAGAATAGGAATGAAAAACTCACATCCTAGTTGTTGAATATAGACGCTAGTGTCTTAATTGTTGGCTGTAATGATCATTTTCAGGGCACTTGTTATTTAAAAAAAAATTTAGGTCAACCTTAAATTGTATTGCGATACACTCGATACCGGTATAACACAACCACCATATTATCTTTAGAAAAAGCGACGATTGAAGTAAACTTCTGTATTCAAATGTCAAATAACGATGATTAAACTGAATATATTTAATGGCCTCAATGCCGTGGGAATGCCTACGCTGAGAATCTCAGAGCGTCTTTTATAATGACGCGTTCACCCCTTCTACATTTTCGTAAGATCGCACTTTCACTTATTAACGTAAACAAACTGTTGTTACTCGTTGCCTTATCCAAACCCATTAACCTTTATCATACCTGTCCATTTTATACAAAAATAATGCCAAACAAATAAATTGTAGACGTGAGACAACTTTACACAAAGTAACACCTGCAACTTTCATTGTCTTAATATGTCACCAATTTAAATAAACCCAATAATAATAATAATCTCGCTCATATTCAATTAAATAAAATGACCCATGACATTGGCCAAAACAACAAAGAAATACAAAATTAAAGTAGTCATATAAGGTAAACAGAAAAAAAATGATATTAAATAAACCCGTAAAGAGCATTTAAAAAAGCGACAGAGCACCTCGGGGTGATTCTACGGGGTCATTGGATTTGATCCATTTTCAATTATTTTATTTACTTATTGGCTTGTTACATGTGGTATGTTAACTGTGCAAAGTTTCAACCAAATAGGTTCAAGCGTTTGGCAGAGACATAGAAGCGTGATCCCACGGGATCATTGGATTTGACCTATTTTCAATAGGCTTATTGCATGTGGCATATAGGTCAACTGTGTAAAGTTTGAACCAAATCGGTCGTTTGACAGTTATCGTGTTCACAGACAGACGGACACCATCGACTCACCTATAAAGCTTGCATCGCTTTGCTCTGTCGCTTAATAAACCAAGAAAGTCATTTGTTGAAAGAAAATTCTTTTTTAAGGACCTGCTTCAAAATACACTTAAGCGCTTGGAAATCTTTCTACTTGACACAAATTGGAACACAATCAAGCAAATCGGTTGCTATAATACAAATTCGTTGGAGAATGGAAAATTTGCCGGTACGTATTCTCATACTATTAGGGCGTTGTGCGCGGGTGCACCATCATGTTGAAACCAACTTTTGTTCTTTTGTGCCGTACAACGCTGTATTCGTAATAAAAATGCCACTCAATTCAGTATGTACTTTTTTTGCGGGCCATATAAAAAAATGAAGTTGATGATTTCTCCGAAACGAAACCTTGTATGAAAATTTATTAACGGTGTCTTGTTAGAGCTCAAATAGTGGCAATGAGAAAGGGTTGTTTTTATATTTGTTCAAATATAAAAAAAAAATAAAAACGAAATGGGCAAATTTCGGTTTGTCTGACATACCATCGGAATATTCGGAATCTTCTGGTTTTCTTTTCAGTATGGAAATCAGTCCTATTCTCGTGTATCTTGAAAACTTTTCAATATTGAAACCTTTTCAAGAAACTTTTCAAGTGACTTTTACAATATTGAAAATTGTTTGTATTCTCGTGCTCACCTTGTAATCGTATGTTTACGTTTTACAAGATTGAAAAGTTAACCATGAAGTTGTAACACAGTGTAGCCAACCCACAAATGTGAATAATGTGCGCGTGCGTAAGTACAATTAGTCAGCTGTTTGGTATAAATACAAGTTGATTTAAGACGTGGTGTTACGTGTATACTCTGTTTTTTAACTAGGAAGACGGATTTAAAAACCTGATTTACACTGAAAATGTCACTAGAATCTAGTAACAAAAATAATAGACTCATTTTATACAGATATGTATTGTGGGTTGCGTGATGTGATTTTCTTTCACATTTGGATAGATTTCATTATTTATGGTTTTGGGTTATTACTTGGTAGGAACTCCTTTATATTATGCATACATCATACTTTTAAAAGCGAATTATAATAAATATGTAATACATTGATAATAGGTAATCATCCTGCATACATTTTTTGGCCTTTGAAACATTATTTTGAATTGTAGTTTTAAATGCTTTATCAGTTGTAATACTACACAATCCGCATTACAATTTACAACAAATGTTAAGTTATTGAACAAATTCAGAACAATGGAATTATGCTCATATTATTAGACAGCACAGTTCACTGCTTTATGTATAAGAGATTTAGTCACTGTCTTCCGAGAGTTCACTAGAACTGTCACTGTCCTTCGATCCGAGTGAAATAATTAAGGGTTCTATAAGTGTATCCATTAGGCCATCCAATCTACACATTTTATTTTCTTCCTTAATAACGTGTTGCACGCAATTCGGCCAATCGTCAGAGCTCACATTTGCAACAGCGTTATGACCACCGGAACGTTTCGAAGGGGTAACAATCCCAGTACTTCGATATCCGGTATACTGTAGATCGTGCAACTCCTAATATGTGTCATACTTTAACAACCAAATATATACCTACATCATTATTTACGTTACCTGTGGTAGATGCAATCTTCAACACAAGGGTAGCAAAATTCATATCCGGAATATCAGACAACATTTGTTTATAATAAACTGCTTCTCGAAGACTGATAAAATGACCCAAGTTTAAGCGATTACGTTTTTCAAAGGAGACAAGCTTGCTTTACTGGTACTTGGAGTTGAATCCATCACTAATACCAGTATACTTAGGACGCGAAATATCAACTTTAGGTCTTAAAAGAACTGTTTTTTTTTCTTAAAATTTATGCAAATGGACTCAGAACACACAAAAACGAGAATCGCGATTAAATTTGACAGTTAAATCATGTCAATAGCAATTTTACCTGGGTGTAAAACGGGCGCAGCGGGAGCCAATAGAAACTAAGGATTTTTGCGGGAACTTTTAAATCCGTCTTCCTAGTTAAAAAACAGAGTATAGTTGACAATGTTTTTTTCGTTTATAATAGAACTGAAAACTTTCTCCTAACTTGGGCCCAGAGGATCTTCATTCTTTGTGGCTGCAACTAGCAGAGGAGCTAAATGCATGTGGAGATGGACCACTAGAGAAGTTGAAGGATGGAAGAAGGTATTTTACCTACTTTAATATACAATTGTTAATTATATTTTCTGACTACAGGTGTTCACTTGGAAATCGCAAACTCGCAAGAAAGCACGGGAGAATAAAGCACTAAATGCTCTCGAAATAAGGTTATTTTACATGGTACTTGGTAGGTAAATGAAGTGCACGAAGCGATTCATGCAGTTGAAAACGTGGAAATACAATATGTATATCATAATTCAGGTATTTTGTAAAGCACGTTAACATTTACTTTCAGGTTGACGAAGAAATACAAGATGTAGATGGAGCGGTAGCCTCACTGGATGTTCCCATAGAACAGATACTCCCTACCCATAAGGACGCCTATATAAACGTTGTTCATTGCTTCAAATTGAATAATTTTAATGATTCAAAATAAATTAATACAACTATTACATTTGTTCCACATGTTGTAATACATCTATTAATAAAATAAATTCAGGATCATTCAGGATCATTCATATTGGAAACGAACCCTAACCTTTAAATTAACTTGAAAAATGGCTAGCAAGGATAATCCGTACTTGCTAAGATTTCAATATTAAGTTCCCAATATTGTAAACTTTTGCAATGACTAATGTGTCACAAGAATACGAAACCGAGATCAAATTGGGAAACTTTTCAATTCTTGTTTACTTTTCAATATCGTAACTATTTCAAGATGCACCAGAATAACACCGAATAACTCTTTAATTGGGCATCTTTTCTCTAATTTAATCATAGTCGTATCTTCTATGGTTTCGGAGATCCCCATGATAGACGTCCTTACATTGGACACCTTTTGAATAGCGCAAGTCTACTTTATTCGTATAAATGAAATTAACAGCAAATTGAGGCAAGTTAAATACAAAACGCGATGACGGTAGTAGAGCAAGCGGTTGTGTGTGTTACGGGTTTCGACAATTCGACCAATCAGAAAATATTCATTCTGTCGGGAATTTTTCGCTATTTCTGTTGGGTGAATGGAAAACAGTTACTAACGAATTGAGAGAAAAGAAAAGTTATTGGAATATAGGTACCGATTACAATATTCTTGCAGATACAAAAAAACCTTCAAAAGTCACTTTATATTTTTTTTCTATACGTTAAAAGTGAGAAAGAAAATAAAACAGTAAAACGTTTGCTTGAATTTTTTTCCAAACAAAAACCTTACGCTTAGCCGTATAGAGTTGTGCTTTATGGTAAATACCTCATACGATAACTTTCGTTCTTATAGTCTCTTACGAATAAAACGCTACAAATGATGTTTTGCATAAAAAAAATGATTAAAGGGCACCTCATTTACTCACTAAACGGTGGCCAATAATCTCCAAAATTTAGATACCTCTATCTGCATAACAGTGGAGTTGCGTAAACTGATTAATCACCTTGCACAGAAGACTAAATAAATTTCACCTCAAGTCGAAGTAACTTTGGTAGCTGCCTGGAAATTGCAATCAACGTCAAGCGCGTTATTTATTATTTGCTAGAACTTATCGGTTATTAATATTTTTGGTGCAATGCATACTCGTAGTCAAACAATTAGGAGATCACGTTTAATAACCCACTAAATATGCAATTTATTGGATTTAAAAAAAAATGCGAAGAGAATAATAGGGTAATCAAACAACTCATGCAAATTTATGGATAAATTCCATGCATTATTACTTAGGCAATAAGATGCGGAATGGTGTTGTCCAACATCGAAATATGACATGACTGGAGCAGTTTCCAGAGGGAGTGAGTACATTTCCTGCAGGTATCTGTCTTACTCATGGGCTCGCTATTAATCATGTCGTCTCAGTTCCACCCGCTGCTAGCGTTCCATTGGGAAATGGCAAATTTAGCACCGCGCACGGACAATATTTCACAGTGTGAAACACTTTCCTTTACGTCAACTTACTTAACCAACTGTGGGAGTTATACGAATGGAAATAATGCATATTTTACGGGTTATTTGATATGTATTATGTTGTTAAGATGATGGAAATTATCTACGACCGTGCGGGTCTATCGATTTCCCACAAATCCTCCCTCGTACCTACCTGATTTTATACTCGATTCCGAGTTTTACTTGAAAGGCTATTTTTTATGTTGTTTTTTTGGTCACGTTTCTATAGCAATACGTTACGACACTTATGTTGGAAAATGCGTTAGTGTATCTGTTTTATAACACTATTAAAGCTGTGATTTTGCGAGACGTGATAAAGCTTTAGAATTTATCGGAGCTTGTAATGTAAGATATATACCTAACTAAGAGGGACTAGAAACTATGCACAAATAATTTCAAAACGAAACTCGACATTAATTAAATTTTGGAAAACCAGTATATGTAATGGAAACCCTTTGATCTACAATTTGAAAGGTGACACAGCTTTAAATTGAGGCCGTCCCACTAACGGTAGATTAATTTAAGTCTAGACTACACTATTGTACACAAATTTACAAACAAGAAGATCTCTTTACAACAACTCACGAAATTGAATGGAGAACGTCGGTCGGTTCAGTATCTAGCAAGATGGTAGCATTTGTAGTTTTGCAGTAAGTTTACACTAAATTTCAGCTACAATTTGCAATCGCGGATACTATAAAATTATGTTTACAACTTAGGGTACCGAAGAGAAAAGAAGAAGTGAAGGCAACCACTCGTAAGTTATCGTAGATTGGATTCATTTTGTGATATTCGAATGTGCGTTGAGGCGTGAGTGCAGTTAAGTTAACCACCTGTAAGTTGCCGTGGGGTTTGTTGTACTAGTTACTAGTAAAAAGAAGAAGACCGAGTTCAGTTAACTACATGTAAATTAGCGCAGGGTGACTTTATATATTGGTGTGAGACCCTAGTGATCAAGAACGTGCATTACTTTCGCTGGCGAAGTTGAAATAGAGTGTGAAATAGAGGATCAACAGCGTAAAATTAGAAGCGCGAAATCAGATTCTGTCGTTTTAACATTCAAGGTGAAGGGATTTAAAAACTTGATTTTGTAATTATTCGCACGCCTGAAGCGGTCTTTGTGCCCAAATAAAATGTTTATATGATATTGACGTTTGCCGTTAGAATCCTTAATTTGGAGTAATCCTGACAAACTACCAGTAAAGAGAGCCATTCATTATACGAGACCTAGACTGTCTTTTCAATTATTTTGATCAACTTATTGTATCAATTGGTACCTCGATTTTGAACGATCAATTTGGTCCAATTCCGTGAGTTAACGTTTGTGCCGAAAGGCTTTCGATACAGCCGAATTGTAATTACTACATTTTTTTAATAGGCCATTATTCCTGCGATAATTATTTTCTGACTACGAGTTGATCCCTTTTTGAATAGTACTCTAGACTTTAAATTTTGATTTTGAGTAAGTGTCATTTCAACTATTATTTGTAACGTTTGGAAACCATTTGTTATATTTTATATTTTTCAATTAAATTGCAATCGCTTTCAGTTATTGTTTGGCTACATTTTTGGTACCACTAACGTTAAACTTAACGTGCAGGTTATCTGTAGAAAACGATATTTTTCCCATACTAAATACCGCAAAATTTCTTACCAGATAACCTGCACGTTAAGTAACGTTTCTGATACATCACAGGGATGATTGTTTATGTTTAACCCATTCAATTTCTTTACCCTTTTTGATTTATTAAGAATAGAACAAGGATCATTATTTTTTCTCTTTAAATTTTCTATAAGACTAAGTGGCATCTATCCAATTTATTTATTAACGAGATCCTAGCGAGTTTATAATTTTGTGGTGTCTGTCCATCTGTCCGTCCGTTAGCATGATATCTCAAAAACGAAAAGACCAGAGGTGGATTCTTTATCAAATCTGTAGATCGGAGTTATTGAAAGATTCTCGTAACAGTCGCAACCTTGGATAACTCCATCTATCGTTGGAATTTTAACCACGCGATTTGGCACGATTTTCACTTTATTTTCTGTCGAGAACCTTATCCAGTGCACTTCGTTTGAACAAACAGCTGAGGCGTTAGTGAAAACGCATGGAATTTTAATTGCCACCATCCATATTTTATTCATCTGTGGCGATTGAATTCTTAATTTGGGGATTCCGGAAATATTGTTAGGACGGATTCACCTAAAAAGTCCAATAGTGAGGATATTATAATTGCTTTTTTTCTGACTTATCGTAAGTACGCAATTTGCATTTTACGTATCTACTTGAAGTGTATCTTTCGTTAGGTTTCAGCTGATATTTGTTATACAATTTTACATCGAGGATTGTTGCATTCATCAAGAATTAACCTTCTCACTTAAAGAGGTATGTACATTTTTGGTTATCAACGAAGAGAGTTACCTTTGATTTCCTTTTAGGGTTTAAATCCTAGCTTGCATGGTTACCTTTGATTTTCTATTAGGGTTTTAATTCCGGGATGCAAATAAGCTGCCATTTTCTGGAATGGGGTCACTGGGTCATGCGCCAGATTTGATAGCAAGCATTCGATCCTCAACAGAGAAACAATTTCCATAACCTTTAAGGTATTAGTATTAACTATTTTGCCCCTTCCAGGTTATATGTTATTACCTTCAATTACTTTGTCACCTTTAATATCTATCTATTAAATATTTTGGCGATCTTGGTTAAGATATGATCGAGTTTAACACGCGTATGTTATGGTAGACCGCCACTTCCCATTGGAGATGTAGGCCAATTTCAGTATCATGCTTGCGATAGAAGCTTAATACGAGTAAAGCGGTGTCCTTCAGGCATTCGTCAATTAATTATATACCGAGCTCTGTGGCATGGGAGATATTCTTTTGCTGGCAGGTTGTGGATCCGGGAACTGAGCTCACTTCTTGGCGTCGTCATCTCATTCAAAGTTGAGGTAAGCCTTGCCTTTCTTATGTTTTACTTGTATTTGGCCTATACGTGCAAATTTGTGCTCGGAATATCAATTTCTATGTGGAAACTTCTCTTAAGATCAAGTAATCAATTTAAACGATTATTCTTGATTGGATGTGTCTGACGTGGCGTGTGACGTAACTTATGATTTTGAATATTTGTGTATTACGCTATCGCATTGTGGAGTTTATTTTTGATTTGACACTCGGTGTGAGTAAACCAGTACTTTGTTTGAGTTGAACTATTATTACTACCCCCGTATTTTTTCAATTTCATACGGGGAGAGTTAAGTTAGAAATTGAGTGGCGCTCAACCCTTGGTAAATGCAACGAAGTTACGAAGATCAGTTTGCCCAAAACGAACTACCGCTGTGTTCTTATTTTGCGTGTCCCTACCCGTTATAGCGGGTCGGGGTTCCTTCCAGATCTTGATTGCAGATGAAGCATATTATAATCTGACACCTCTGCTTTTGATGGCAATATGGACATTCCTCAAACAATATTACAGTGTTTCGGCCTGCAAGTACTGGTCATTCACCTGAAATTAGTGAATTTTTTAAATCCAATGTGCAATCACAATAGCCAAAAAAGCAATGTGCCGTTGGTTACCTCC